TCCTCTTGTTGGCACCTTTTCTTATGTTTCTATGTTGCCTGGAGCTCTCTACCTCTCCTCCCTACAACCGGCTATCTGCTCCTGAGCTTCCTCTAGAACCTCTGTCACACTGCATCCAGCCCTAAATTTCAATTTTTTCTTGGATTACTCTCTCATGTTCTTCCTGTTTCTTGTTTCTGGTCATTACCAATTAGGTACAACAGGGTGTTGTTTATGTGTTTGAACCTGTTGCCCTAGTATCAAGTGACAACCGCGATACCTCCCAAAGATTGCCAGTCAGTAGGTAATAGGCACAAAAAGGCAATGTGTCTCCAGTAATATCATTGTGTTGAATGAAGAGCTAAACCAACCGATGTAGATACATTGGGTTGTTTTTTCAAAATATCAAATGGAAAAATAAAGGATTAACAAAATCAACAAAACAACGGAGGCAGTATGGCAAAGGGGAATGGAGTTTTTTGCCATTACTTGTAGGAGAATCAGAAAGAAAAGGTGTGCTTAACACTTTCTCAGTAACTCCAAATAACTCCAAACAGACTTCCAGACTGGACAATCTCAAAGAAAATACACTAAAAACATCCACTGCATTATCTTAGTCAAACATTCTTCCCAAAATAGTTGAACAAACTTCACTTTTTCTGACCTCAAAAACAGCACTTAGTTGTTCCCTCAGATTTATTTCACTAGGATGACCCTGCCTTTTAGTGTCACTCCACTAGTATTTTCCAGGTACTGTCTCACAGATTTAACTCAGAGCTTCATTGCCATTTGCTCCTCAACATTCATAATTAATACTGTGCACAAGAAACAATCTATTTTGCCATATAAAGTAGAATTCTAACTTACGGTACATTTTAGCATATTTATGTTGTGTCATAATTGAATTTATATTGAAAATAAGGAGCATATTTAAACCCTGGTAGTTTCACAACTGCAGCAGAAATACCACAAAAGGAGAGCATGAAACTTGGAAAAATTCCAGGACAATAAAATTCTTTATTTGGTTTTCTAAATAGAAGTGGCAAGGCGTTTGCAGTATGTATTGTCAGGTACTATCTTTGTAATCGGTCACTCACTAGAAAACGTTTCCATTTGAAAAGTCTACATTCAAGGATAACATTAAGAAAGGCATTTGAAAAACTTACCCAGGCAATACATTCCTTGTCTCTGTAGTCTATATTTTCTGTGATTTTAATTGGAGGCAAGATCCACTGTTTTTCAGGCTCCTGTTGTTGCCCGTTTTCCATAGCCTCCATGCTGTTTTTGAAGACCTTTAAATATTAAATAAGCACAGCGTATGAAGAAGACCTTTTCCAACCCCGCTATCCCAGGCAAAGTTTCGGAAATGAAAAATAACGTATTTTGAAATGAACCGAGTGGTGTTCCGAGGAGTGTGCGAGTGTCACCTTTCAGTAAAAGGAAGTTCGGGAGGGATAACGACAACAATTCAACCCTACCCATCTGCTCCTAATCATTGCTGACAATACGTAGCTATACTGAATGTCTAACACGAACACTTCTTTTCACATCCATCTCATGCGTTCCTCCTCCAGCCACCTTCATCTTGCAAGTTACCCCTCGGTTAAGGTCCTTCTCTGCTGGGGGTTGGAGCCTCCTAATTCTCTGGCCAGAGGGCTGCCCTCAACCCAAGTAGCTTAAGCCAGAACTCTCCTCCAACATTACTCAAACATCCACAAAGCATCTGATTCTTCATGTTCTTGTCCCTTGTGACATAAAACATGTTCACATATCTTTTGATGGATGGTCAAACTGCAAGCAAAACATTTGTTTTAGTAGATTACGTGGAGCACTCATTCACAAAAAGTGCCCTTCAGAAATGAGAACCACGATTACATTCTGCTAGTGCGAACCAGCTTGGTCAGAAGTTTCCTCTCATCTTTTAAACCTTAACTTAGCTCTTTACCTCTTTTTTCACTCAGGCTGTGAGCTCACATAGTTTTGTAAACGGTTTATGTTTGTATGTGTTGCTTTTTCTTGCTCTTCTTTCCCAAAACAGAATTCTTCCACGTTCTTGCTCTTGAGCATATTAACAAGCACAGGACATGATGCAGCCGTCATCACAATTGACAGAAGAAATTCAAATTTACCCCAGAAGAAATTCAGAATTTACAGAAATTGCTTGAAAGGGTATAATTATTGGGGGGGGGATCGCCCTGCATTTACAGTTAGTTAAATTACCACAAGCCTCACACAGATTTCCCCTTGGCACTGTGTACTGGCAAAAACGTAATTTTATCATTTACAACATGATCAAATTAACACTATGGACAAAAAAATGAATATGTAATTAACTAGTATGTTTTTTTTGTAATGTTTTAATGAACGGTTCTCCCTATTTAAAATCTTAAAAAAGAAACAACTGATGGCGGTTCTACTTACCCTCAACATTACAAACAGAAAGAGGCTGATGCCAGTACGAGAAACCTGCAACATGCTTGTTTCTTCTTTCAGATCACTTCCCTGAATTACTAACCTCGTGTGCTCGGTTATTGACATGCAGCTTAATGCTAGATCATGAACACACTGCTTGTTGGTTACTCTTTGTAACCTTAAACTTAAATATGTTTTCCAACAAGTCTGTCCAGACTTGTTTTCTTTCCAGCTAATTTAATCAGAATATAGGTGTTAGATAACATTCATAAAAAAATACTAACAGGACAGTCTTCCAAAATGCAAACACTGCATAAAGCATGCCAAAACCTGTTAAAGCACAGCTACTTGAACTTGAACTTTATTGCCATATGTAACCGGTACTGGTACAATGGAATTCTTACTTACAGAAAGTCTCTCGATTGTAAAACAAGTGTAAAAAACAAGACAAAGTGCAAACAGTGCATCAAGACAATGTACAAACAAACAATAGACAATGTGCAAGTAAGTATGTAGACAGTTTGAATGTAAACAATACAGACGTGTAAACAATGACTGGAGATGTGCAATAGATAAGAATTCATAAAGAGGTAGATGGTGATGGTGTAGGTGTGGTCCGGGGGGGATGGCTAAATGTGTTCACCAGTCTCACTGCTTGTGGATAGAAGCTATTGAAGAATCTAGTGGTCAGTGTCCGTATGCTCTTATATCTCTTGCCTGAGGGCAGTGGGGTGAAGAGCTCATGCCCGGGGTGGTGACTGTCCTCTGTGATGGCCAGAATTCTACCACAGCAGCGGTCCTCATAGAGCTGTTTAATCTCGGTGAGACCGCAGCCGATGATCTTCTGGGCCATATTGACCATTCTCTGCAGTGCCTTTCTTTCTCGCGAAGAGGTGTTGCCATACCACACGGTGATCCCGTTGGTGAGGACGCTCTCGATGGTGCAGCGGTAGAAGTTCACCAACACATGTATTGGCATCCCCCATCGCTTGAATGTAATGTTTACAATGTAATGTAATGTACTGTAATGTTCTATAAGTATTATTGTTGTTTCCCCTGAGGTATCAATCTCATGTAATGATAATGTCATCACACTTACTGTGGTAGAACATAATAGTTTCTGTTGTAAAATGCCTTGTGCTTCAGAAATTACTTCCAAGGAATTACATTTGTACTACAGCAGGGGTAGCACACCCAGACTGGAACACTGCAAACTTCGAGAAGATCTGAAAATGAAAACAGTTAATCCCATTGTACTGGCGTCATATTCACACAAGCAGTAGCAAGTAAAGCCATTCAGAAGTGCCAGGGTTTTGCAAGCAGCACCACATTTCCCACGGGTGTTAAAGGAATTCCAAAGTTGGAATATTGTTTGCTCTTCTCTGTTCGTAGGTTTCAGCATGGAGACTGTTTGATCCTTTGCAGCTGGCAAACTTTCCACTTTAACCTGTTCAGATCCGTGTTTTTGTTCACCTCCAAAAAAAGACAAGAAGGAATTCCTTATGGGATAATATAACATTATGATGAATTAAAAATAATTTTAAAATTGTATTCAAGCTTTAATGATCCAACTGAGCTCTGCTACATATGAAGAAGGTTAAGGGGTAGAAAAACACTATTTAGCACACTAAGTATTCCTCAGAGGCACTTCTGGCAGAAATTATTGCTTTCAGTATTTTTGGACGTTTCTACCTGCTTTGCAAAAGTGACAAGTTCTTCCAGACTTTAATCATCAAAATTCAAATCTCTACTTTAACTGGGACACTTAAGGGCATTTGTCCTCTTCTTGACAGACGGTTCAGTGTGGCTTTGGCCTTGTCTGTCACCAGCTCCGCCTAATCAGAATAATCCAGAATAAGAACAATCATAATCAAGCACCTGTCAATTCCCGCAAACGATGCTGTCTGGACGAATGACCTAATCACACTCCTCAATCACTACTGCACCCCTAGAACTCCAGAATACCTAAGGAATCCTAACCCTCCTCACAGCGCTCAGTTTTGGGTCAACAAGCGGAGCTCTCTCTCTCGTGTCTTCCCTGTGTCTCTGTATGATTCCCCTGCTGATCCACTGGCTAAATGTCCTGATCTGTTGTACAACTACGACTTCAGATTGCGCCCTTGTGCTGTTGCTCTTCTGGTCTTCTGGCTAACGACTTGCTTTGAATGAAACTACATTTCATAGTAGTTAACTTCATTCAGTTAACAACTACAGCTTTGGATGAGTACTCCCTGTTTTCTCCTTCTGTGTCTTTACCCCGCCTTCCACCTGGTCTGGAAAACCGCATACTGTAGGGTTAAACAGTTTCTCTCTCTCTCCCGACGTTACATTGTCCTTTAGGGCAACAATGCTGACGTGTGAATTTTCGTTGTTGGGTGAATCAAGAAGGGTGTGCTCTAGGATAGCCATGTTCCTTGTTTCATTCGTTTTTCGCTCAAACCATGACGGGTCAATTACAACGAACTGAAAGCAGCGTACTAACAGCAGTTCAACCCGTGCTTAGTACGCAGCTGCGGTTTAAACGTGTGCTCCACCTTAAGACCACTTGCAACGACCTTTGCCGCTGTGCTTGGTCCGCAGCACCGTGCTAAACCTGTTCTCAATTGCAACGAACACAAACTACTGCTGCCCTCTAGCGGTGACTAAAGTAGTAACTTAACTTAAACCACCTTTTCAATGGTTTTAAGCAGCTTAATACCGTACTTGGCGTAACGCTGGATCGCATTAGAAGGCTCCCGAATATAGTGGAAGTAATATCGTCACTATGTACTGAATTTATGAATCCGTCGCTTGGAAAATTATTGTAATGGTTAACTAAAATTGCTTAACACTCATACCACATTAATAATGAAGTTTATTTATACGTGTGTATTAACAAAAGTGTCATTTACTAATAATTACAGTACGTTTAATGTCAATCATTATGAGTAGCTGTTGGATTTTAAGATATCCTAGGGAGGGAAGAGAACAGAAATTAATCAAATAGTTATATAAATGCAGCGTGAGCCTTTAATGTGTTCTATCAAATCTGGAAGTCTGAATAGATTTGTTAAATATTTTATTGTGGTGGGTCTCCATATTTGTGGTTATCAGAGGAAAGCAGGGATAATGAGGAAATGGGTGGCACAGAGAATAATATCTGCAGGCAAATGCAAGCCTACTTGGCATCTTAAAAGTGATTATTTATGATAGTTTTTCGGTACACTGTCCCTTCTCTTTCCTGTGGCTGTGGTCCAATAACGACTGTGTTGAAACGGCCAGAGTGTGCTGCATGCCTTGGAGACGGAAGAGGCGGCTCATCCCAGTCAATCGCAAGGTTGTGTAGGACTGCACACGCCATGATGATGGTGCTGGCTCTTGATGGACTGGTACGCCAACCAAATGACAGACAGGCAAAGCGTTGCTTTACAATTCCAAAGGCTCGTTCAGACTCCTGCTATAGCGCTGCTCTTGAAAATGTTGTAGGAGTGTGCACAGGTGTCGGAAGATATCGTCGTAAAGGACTTAGCAGAACCACACGCCAGCCAGCTCTTCCCCACTTTGAAAGGAAGATGTTGGAACTGACTATAAAATAACTTAATTGGAAACGGAAGCGCCTACTGACACAGGGGGAGAGAGAGAAAACTTTATTTCAAGAGAAAGTAAAAGTTCTGTAAAGTAAGCAAAAGGCACACCGTGCTAAAGAAATGTTCAGTATTACCTTAAAACAATAGAAATGCTTAGAAGGTCAGAGGAACAACCTTTTTTTTCTGCTCAGGTAATTTCTGGAAAAATACATTCTGTGGTGTAAAAACACATTTTAATATAGCATGCAAATGGTTCACTATTAAAAAAAAACCTCTGCATATCTAGAAAGCATAAACATATTGCTTAATAAAGTTGGATTAAAAGAGCAGAGAAAAGTTAGGACAAATCAAAGCACATTGTTAAATGTACAGTAGGCTTTACGATGTAAATGATCTTTTCTATTTTATAAGATTGTGCTAAAAAGATTGTTATTTTCACCGTCTCTATTACAGTATTTTACTGTGTTGATTTTTACAATTGCTACATGATTATAGTGATGATTCATACTTCTATCCTGCTGATGTGGCAATTATTTATAATTTAAAAAATCACGCTGTTTCCGAACTTTAATACAAACACTATTATCCTTCTGTGGTAATGTTAAATGTTTTCAATTGAGGTTGTCAAACACAAGCTGTTAAATTACTTGTACACAAATACACAAGTCTTTAAATTACTTGTACAGAGTACATACCTTTTTATTTTTACTGCTTAAAGTCTATTCCAGGTACAAGTAAATCACCCTTCACTATCAAAAACAGTATCAAGGTGTAAAGAACAGGTACAGCGAGATACATAACACACTGAAAGAAACTTAGAAAACAATTACAAGTTGAAAGGAGAACAATTTTATCGTGATTAGAGCTTAATTACCTTAATTATCCCTTCACCACACACTTTGTTAAAAATAAAACATCTGTTCATAGAAACAAATATGTCAAATCCAACACAAAAAGGTAGTATGAAACAGGTTTAAGTTTAAAAAAATCCTTTGTTACTCGCGTTTTCTTTCTTCTCTTTTCGGCATGGAATAAACCTATTACTTGTTCCTTTGCAGCCTACGCATGCTGACGCAGTTACCCACCTAAACTATGTTAAACATATCGCCAAGGTCGCAGTTTCCCCATCGGAAACTTGGCAACGAGACACACCGATGCCGGAGGTAACCGGAAGTGGAACTGCACGTTGCCCTGGTAACGGGTACTGCGGACTGACAGGTGTAAAGCAGTGAGCTGTGAAGTGTTCGCGCGGGTGCTGAATATCCAAAGTGAATCAGTTCATCATTTAGAATACCTACTTTTATGTTCATAGTTTTCAACATAAATTATTGTAAAGCACAGCTTTAAAAACTTCATAGATCTCAAATTATGTGGCAGATGCGTTAGATGGCGACAGACGCCATGTAACTTAAAAAAGAAGTAAAAACGAATTTTCATTTAGAATGCGTGTAAATAGGGAGATGCGGGTACAGTCTCAACGAGAGGTACACTACGAAGTCTCATGCCATTACACATACTAATTCATTTTAAATGGTATATACTGTACAGTATAGCTGTACTATAAGTCATTTTTTTATTTATGCTGGTTCTTGTTAATCAATTTCGTGCAAAATGCGAATATATGGCTGTTGTGAGAGGTGAGTAGTAAACGAGTGTGGAAGTGTGGGACATGAACATACAGTAGACGCCTGTAAGTTTAACTGCGCAGTAAGTTTTGGTCCTTTTTTTCTAAACGAGCCTTTTAAGAGATATTTCAATGTTTTGTACAGCAAATAACATTGCAATTTTTTAATTGTTTTCGTATTTAGCCGATTATGAACTGTAAACTGTTTTGTTTACTGAATGTTTAGATTGACGATATTTTTTCGTTGTTTTCTGAACGACTAACGGAGATTTATTTACAAATGATTTGCACTGGATATCATTTACAGCGAAGCATACTTTTACGGTTTTATTAATTTTCTTTAAGACTTTATAAAGTTTAAACATAAGTCTAAAACGGTAAAGAGATTTTATTGTTTTATTTAGCAAGTGTAAAACATTGGAAGTGTCTGGATTAACACATTAGTCTCGCAGTTTCTGTCACGGAAGCAGTTCTTTTCATTATTGCGCGAAATTTTCAATCTCTGTTTATATTGTCTCTTAAACTGCATATACAGTATATCGTTTACTCCATCACTGGGTTAACACCGACTGCGCCAAAGCACGTTGAAGTGAGAATTAATACTAAATTAAGAAGAGCAGTAGTATATACTGTATACTTAAAGCGAGGCAGCGCACATTAAGAACGCTTAAATAAGAACCATTCAGTAATTAATCGTTACTGAAACATTTTCATATTAACCCCTTTCAAATGAATACAAATAACAAATTTATTCAAAATGAGTACATCTGTTATGCAATGTGTCATGTCTATTTGGATGTATAACGTTCAATGACTTTTAAATTAATTATATACAGTAAAAGTACAACTATTTCAGATTAAAACTCTTGCACAAACTCTTAGAAAGTAAGCTATGTGTAAATCCTCCATAGATAGCAATATTTTTAGATTCACAGACTTCTGTTCACAAACCTAGTAGAAAACAAACCTTTAACACTGAACATGTATTGAACATTATCGTAGCATGAACTAAAACGTTGATGATGTCAGATTTTAAGACTGGACGTATTTTTATATAAGAGCTTTTTGGGACTGAAAGGAACTGCCCTATTATGAAATGAAAATTTCACTGCATGTAACATTTAGAACACATGAAAGGTGTTTCAAACATTATGAAATCAACATACTATTAATATAATCAAATGAATGCATTTAATTGTCGCCAATCACAACCAAGATATGCGTCTTTTAACTGGTGTCTTGCATGTTTTGATGAGAGACAGTTTTCTCTTTCATAATTACTTTATGAGAACCATGCAGATCACTCATGTAAAAGGAACCTCCATTCATCATTCCACCTTGTGCACCTGAGCTAGATGATACCACTTTTTCTGTAAACATCATACTCTGTTTTCCAGATATTTCACCTCTGACCTGCCCTGATGCAACTTTCCCCTCCACTAACACCACATTCTGTGAGCCTGGAAGTCCAACCCTGTGCATGGCTCCTTGATTAAGCCCAGCAATCCCCTCCTGCACAAACTGCCCTGATCCAGTCTTCCTCTCCACTAACACCACATTCTGAGAGCCTGGCAGTCCAACCCTGTGCATGGCTCCTTGATTAAGCCCAGCAATCCCTTCCTGCACAAACTGCCCTGACCCAGCCTTCGTCCCCACTAACACCACATTCTGAGAGCCATTGCCATGGAGGTAACCCAGCACTCCACCCTGCACAGCAGAGCCAGACACCACTCTGTTCTCTTGAAACAGGACCTTCTCAGAGCCTGGGCCTTCTTTCACCAGCAGCACACCCTGTACATTAGGAGAAGCTGGCCTTTCTGAGACAAGCATGGTGTTGTGGACCTGCGGCTTCACAATGTACCGAGTGGGTTGAACCATTGGGGTGGTAGTGTAATACACAGGCTGTTGGGTGACATATGCTGAATTGGAAACTGCAACATTTTCTCTGATGTCTGTGGTTTTAAAAATGGCAGAAGGTGACTCAGTGCTTTGCTGGATCATGACTGGCAAAACTGGGCTGGGTGTCTTAGTTTCAGTTGTCACTACATGTTCTGCACTGCTCACTGCATGACTTAAACCAGTACTATCCTGTTTGGTAGGCCTTGATGGAATGACCGAGTCTTCCGCCTTGCTTTCTTTACTGGTGCAGATCTCGGCAAGGGTCTTAAACTTGGGTCCCAGGTCGTTCAGGAACTCCAAATCATCGTCTCCTTCAATGAAACTGCAGCATCCCACTGAACCCACAGGGGATTCTCGTCCTTCAAAGTTAAAAACCAGCGCCTCAGGCTCTGTGTCAGGCTCTGTAATGTACCTCGACTTCTACAAAGAAAAGACAACAAGAACCAAATAAGTAATTTTGTTTCAATATAAATACATATACTACTAAATAAATATAAATACATTTATATAAATACATTTAAATACATGTATTAGTCTACTATATACAGTAGACAAGTAGAAGCACTCACCCATGTGTAGCTTAATCTGCACATTAACCATATTCTGTGTGGTTCTGCAGAAACTCTGCAGGTTTTCAGGTTTTCAGGTTTTCATTCCAGTTGAGTCCTAAATTTCCAGTGCTAACTGATGACTTAATCTATTTACTTGTTTAGACGTTTATTTAACTTATTAACACAGTCCAGAATGTTAAAAATACCCTACTTCCATTTCCGACAACTTTATCATAACAGAACTTTATGTAATCTCTCCTCAGCTTGTTGGAAATTATTTTGGACTAAATGGATCTTAATAGTTGATTAATTGAATTACACTATCAGACACACCCACAATGTAGAGGTTTCATTCAGCAGGGGTTCTAATATGAATAAAACATTTATAGGCAAATTTAGCCAAAACATAGAAGCACATTGTGCTTATTATTCATAGTAATCCTTTTATCACATATACACCCTGCGTGACTGAAAAGCAAAATAACTCTTCACTTTTCTGTCTCGATACTTTTGGAGGTACTGTTATTTTCTTATTCATAGCCTCTACATCGTATAGGCAATCATAGTGACCCAAATATATTAATAATAGGTAGTAACCTTACCATTCTGCAGGAACACTTGAGACATGAGACAAGCTGGCAGACATCAGAATGTTGCAATAGAGTTTCAAGATAGTTCTGAGTCTTATGAACAGTATCTCCCCTCTTTTAAATGTAGGATACGCAATGTGGATACACCTATACACATATATTAAATAACCCCACATACAGTGTTGTAATAATGAGATTAATGGATTTATTTAAGTCAATTACCTGTGTGTAGTAATTTTCCAAGTATCTTTCAGAGAGTGCTATGTCAACATAGGAATCTTCATGTATTGAATAAGTGGTTCCTGACCTAATTTGTTTCAGCATTTCTTCTTGACACATGTTGCCAGTTTTCACATGGATATTGTCATGCCAAACTCTATCAAATTGTCTATTGTCATGCCTGAAGTTGTTCTTACTACTCATGAAATCCCACTCTTCTTTGCCAAAATAAAATCTTCCAGGGACAATTTCCAAAGGTGCACTCAGAAGTGGTATTTCCTGTGTTAAAAAAACACATCGCAGTATAGTTACTGATAATTTCAAAATCTCGGGAATGACTAAACATTCCTGCCCAGACCATTATGCTTGGACCTCCCTCTTAATCGGTCTGTTCTTCACACCAATTAACATATCACTCTGCATGTACAGTATGCAGCAGACTCACTGGTGAATCAAGGTGTTGTGTAGACAGCCCTGATGGATATCAGTACAGATATCTTGCCTGCATTGTAGGAGAGTCCATCAGAGGCAACTTTGTGCAGGCTCTAACATCCAATGGTACAATAAGTGTCATTGTCTTGATAAGATGGACAAATTAGTTTTTTAAATTTTTTAAAATTTCACCAGACCTGACCATTGTTAGGTTAAATCTTCTCATCATCTTCAACCAATCAACTCTCACTAATGAATCACCTCATCATACTTTTACATCAAGGACAGTCATGGATGGTCAATTCAACAATATAAAGAATATTTGATCAATGTGCAAAATCTGTATAATGTACTTTTGTCCTAAACCATGCATGACCAGACAGATAAATTTATAGCAACAAGGGTACCTTGTCTTCTCCTTGTCCTTCTGTGTGATAAGCAATCAAATGCTCTTTGGTGTCAAAAGGCATGTCAAGAAAAGCCCCTCCTTGTCCTCCGACCCCAAGCCAGCCACACGAGCAGAACAGCACTAGCAGAGGCACCACTATTGAGCAGACATAGACAATAAATAACACCTCTCCACACATTTTGGACACAAATGATGTATGCTGGTAAACTTCTAAAGAACATATCTGTTTAAAGAAGGTACATGGAAATATAGACACTTGAATCTTACACTCATATCAAGCATTACAAAAAAAGAGTATTTTATACTGAAGACACTGAATGATTTTAATGAATGTGATGGGTTATGGGTACTTCTGAATTAATCTTGTTCAGATCACTGAAATATTGCTGTATATCATAGATCCCATCCAGCCCCTCCTATTGATTTGGTGGTTATCATTGTGCAAAGATGGTACATTGTCGAAAAAGAATATCACAGTGATATACGGTATGAAAATACACTATGATCAAAAAGAGAGTGACGATTGGACTGCAGGTTGACACTGATGTACAATAAAAGCACATAAGTTGGTCAAATAAAACCCTCTTACATTTCACAAGGAAATTCACAAGGAGGATGGGATGCCCCCACCAAATTGAAGGCACAGACCAACACATCTGAACTTTTTAAACCTTTTTTAAAACATTGTTAAGTTCCAAATTTAACAGAAAATAATCTAAATAGAAATTGTATTTGACTGGTTGAACTGCATCATAAGCTAGTACTCCTCTTCCAGAATGAAAACTATAGTACCAGGTCTGAACTATCCATGGGGGAATTCAGGATAGAATCCATCCATCCGTTTTCCAACCGTTTCTTCCAATTCAGGGTCATGGGGGGGGAGTCTATCCCGGAGAGCAACAGACACAAGGCAGGGTACGCCCTTGATGGGGTGCCAGTCTACTGCTGGGCAGACATTAGAATAGTACTGTAGCTGAGCTTTCTTGAAAATAATCACATAAACCTTCACTTTTATGAACTCCCCACAGTGACTCCGGGAACATCAGCTATAGACACATCACCCCTTTGGGGTAATCATGTAGCACTTACTGGTCCCATGATAAAGTGTGGGCAAACCTCTTCCCAGATGGATGCACCTACAGTACCATCACCTTTACAAAAAAGACCTTACAGAGTACAGCACTGATGGACTGTTCACTTACAGAGCAGCATCAGGAACCCAAGGATGAGCAGACCCATGGCAGCAAATCCCAGTCCAGCACCTGTTGTCTTTCTTGTGGCCTCACAGGTTTTCTGTTCATTACAGGTGCAGACATCTATCTTAACAACCTGCTTATCAGGACAGGATAGTCCTTGTTGGTCTTTCACCTCCACAGCAACCTCATATGAACCAGGCCACAAGTTATCATGGGTTCGAAGGATTGCAGTGGTATCTTTAAGAGAAGAAATATGTGGTCCGTTATAGGGGAAAATAATTGACAAAATATTAAATAACATGTAAAGGTTTATTCCATGCTGAAGAGAGAAGAAAGGAAACACATCGTTTCGGCTGTGGAGCCTTCTTCAGGTCCACGCTTTCTCATACACCTGAAGAAGGCTCCACAGCCGAAACATTGTGTTTCCTTTCTATTTTTTAACTTTAAATGGGAGCTTTTACAAGTTACTATGTCCATTTTCCTTTTATTGTGGCTTGAAATGCACTCATCAATGCTGATTCTTTCTACTCCTGAAATATAAAAATAGCATTGCAGTCCCCTTTAAATTGATTACCACTAGAAGGAATCTCTTTTACTAAGCTCCCAGCATTCCCTCTACACACATTCACACATACATAAATTGAAACTACATGCGGTCTAAAACCTTACCATTTAGGGGTTCAACTATCCATGTGCCCTTGGTACCTTCAGGAATGATTTCAAACTCAAAGGGAGGTCCATTGGGATCAGCATCTTCATCCTCAGCTGTGACAAACACAGCTGTGCTCTCAGTACACAGAACCTGGGAGGTACTGGTCAGAACTGGACAGTGGTCATTGGAGTCTTCCACCTGGAGAGCAATCGTACCGGTGGCGGATTTGGCAGGTAAATCTGGAAAAAGGGGAGCCCGTTCAGCTTATCACTGTAGCTCGTTTGATAGTCAGAAATAGGATTGTTTTTTAAAATGTTTTTGAAAGGGACAAAGACTGATGCCTTCAATTAATTTGATCTTCTGCTGCGTTCTCATTGGTCTTGACATAATCGAGTTCCACACATTGCAAAGAAAAGAGCTGACTTCTTGCCAGTGCCATTAGTTTTCATGAGAAAAGTAAAATGATGTCTAAACTTAATAAGTAGAAAATGCATTGGAAAAAAAATTCAAGACATTTTCAAATTAAATATTAAGTGAGAAAAATTTGAATTGGAACCTTGCTTCAGGTATCACACATTTTTCTCATTTCCCATTAATTTACTTTTGCTTGCTGTATGTGTCCACCACAAGAAACAGGTTCAATTACTCCTACACTACTTTCACTCTCCCATCAATTTGCTTTTACTTACCATTAGTCATGACCATTACTTTTGCGTAATATGTGCCATTAACCAAGAACTTGGACTCCCGGTCTGGCAGCTTGTTCAGTTTGATCTCCGCAGTATTTTCATCGATTGACAGCCAGTTGTCAGGATCAAATGCCTTTGCATATCTGTAATAACATTAATGATACACCAACAATGAAATCTGTGTGCAGGTCACTAAATTAAGGGAATTTCGCTATCACTTATGATGCAAGTGGTTTAAATGCAATATTGTATTGGCAAGCATGCCTCATTCATTGTCCACTTAATGCCAGACAAGATGCTTGCATGCATGTCGATGTAGCATGAGATAGCAGGTAGTTTTGCCATAAAGATGGCTGCTCCAATCAGGGCTGGCTGACCTCACAAGACCTCCTCATGATGGAGCACCATCTCAATGCACACAAGCACATCTACACCCGTAAGCTTTACCAGAAGTGTACCAAGCTTTGCTTTCATATGCTATTTCAAAACCACACTCTGTGTTTAGTAGCACATTCAGTTATATAACATGCATTAGGCACCTTTTATGACAACCATATGTTTCTTTGAGAGATGACAAAAAATAAAATGTATTACTGCAGTATATTATACCACGTACTATTGAGTACGACTGTCAGACAATAAATAGAGTAAAACATAATTAGGGATATAAGTAACCATCTAACAGTATAAAGCAGTATAATATTTCTGCAAGTAAAATTTTAAAGAGATGCTCAGGATACTGAAAGAATCTAGACATACTGTATGTCCTGCATCAACAGCAGAACAGCCTAGAGATGAAGATTCAGGAAAGGAGTTAACTAGTGCTTTATTGAAAGTGACCTGGTGTTACTTGTACTGATTTACACAGCTAGGCATGTTACTGAATTCAGTACATTGCTAGATGGCTAGATGATTTTGAACAAGGCGAGCTGAGTGGTCTTATAGCACTATTACGTTTATTACTTTTTATCATTACTTGAAACCTTTTTACTGTAGAAGTCCCAAATCTGCCTGCTATTTAATAAAACAACTATAGCTATAGATTTGTTTTTTAAATGGCAGATGCTACTAATTGCGATTTCTTTTAATACTTTGGATTTCATTGTAAAAAAAAGGAAATCTGGTAATCAGAGCAGGAAAACTGTACCAACCTGACTCTCTCCGCAGTCATTCCGGTATCGCTGTTAACAGCCAGGTATTTCGTGATAACGCTTTTGAGTTTCACTTTTTTTGTCTCTTCTGAAATTGAGACAGCCTTTACCTTAGGAATAAATCTGGGACCTTCAGGCTGGTTTTTAACGTGGATTTTAAGTGGGTACGTTTTCGTTCCTGAACTGAAACTTGCAGCAGCTCTGCTATGAATAACCACCTTATTTCTAACAGCCACGCTGAGTTCCAGGTTTTGTATCACTTCATAATCCAGAGCCTTTAACGTTTGAGAGAGGAAAGAAGAAACCACATGTCAAACAATGCCCATTACACGATTGCCTATTCATGTAAAACACCATTCATTTTGATGTGATTTAGGCCTCGATATTATTCTGTGTATGAAATACGTGGTTCCAGACAGCAAAACTGACCTTCATATATTAAACATCTGTTATTATGAACAATTGTACATAGAAAGAAATAAAAAACAGGAACTGAATGGTTTTATGACATACTTGTGCAGAATAAATAAAGTTTTAAGTACACTAAGATTGTTTATTAAACCACACTGCCTACCTTATTTAACATTAAGATTCCTTCATTAGTCTCAGTGTCCGTTGTAAAACTGAAGTAGCCCCCTTCGTTTCCTGACACAATGTCATACTCTGCCATCCAGTTGTCTGAAAATTCTAGATCTTCATCCAAGGCCTTTATCCTCATGACTTCAACATTTTCTGTGTTTTCATCCACACTGCCAGAATACTGAAAGAAGAGTTGGGAGAGTAGTTAACCTCAAGTACTAGCACCCAGACGAATGTGTGGAAGTCACAAGTTCAGAATTCCCAATTATTTTGTATTATTGGTTTGGAATCACCAAAGCATCTTTGTGTTTTGGCTCACAGGAGTGACCCTTGTATCCACAAATGGACTATGTGATAATGCAGAAAGGTTGTTCAGGCCACCTTCCCTTTTGACACATTATGAGTTCCACAGAGACATACAGTGTCCTTCAACAAAGTCAGTAGAAGCTTGCAGGCCCCTGGGACATAGCAGGGGTCGGAGTTGTGCTCTAAGGTGCGACAGTCTGCAAGATTATACCTCCAATGGTGGTGAGCTCATTGCATGCCTGCGCTTTGGGATTCTCATTCACAACCTGCTAGTCGCATCAACAGGCTGGAACTTAACTGCAGATTTAAACCTACAGTATGCTCTCAACTTTCACATTTTTTATATTAAATATTTGATATTGAAGGGGAACTGCAGTCTAAATTTCTCAGACTGGTTATTTCAATCTCTGTGACAAAATTAATTCATGAATGTTACAGAAAAAATGTACAAATATTGAATTAACCACAAAGCCATGAATTTTGTGAAAGTACTGTTAGTTGCCATGTTGTTGCAAACTTGCATTCAGTTTCCCACTCACTGTCATACGATGCCGCCCTTCCTGCTCACTAGTCACTGTAATGACTAATGTGATATATGAGTAAAAAAGTACAGGTTGTGCAGCAGAAATTTCACCACAGAAATGCTCTAACATGATCCGCACGAAGAGTTACTGTAACAAGTAAGTAGTATTTGTCTGCAAAACTACAGTATGCAATATTTCTGTGGAATTTAAATTATATTAACAGGCCCTCTTGTTTACAATGTCATGGGGCCGCATCATGTCACTGGAGGTTTTGTTTCCTCATTCTGAATCACAGAACACGGTGCTGCGCATACATGGAAATTTCATCTATTTTGTGATGTTAAGCAGACCTTTTACAACTTACTGTGTACATATAACTTTTATCGAGGTTTGAAATGCACTCATCAAGGCCGATTCTTTCTAACCGATTCTACAATGAAGTGTAGCATAATAGAAACATAGAAGTGTAGAAACCATCGTAGCCACAGTGAAAACATAGAAAGTTGTGAGCTCATGCAATGAAAAGACACAGAAACTGTAAATATTTTTTACTTCATCTTTCTCCAGTTTAGGGAGGTGATCGTTGACATCGAGGACTGTAATGTGAACAGTTCCAGTTCCAGTATTTCCATTCTCTTTTCCATCCATGTCTGTGCCTTTTACAATCAAAGTATAGGTTGACTGTTGCTGTAAAAATAAAAGGTAAATAAAATCAAACAATTACATAAAATAGTATTTATGTACTCAGAAATAAACATTGGAAGAACACTTTATATACGACAAACTCAATGGGCCTTTACAGCTACAGGTATTTGACAGTCCACAGATCTTCATGCAGTATATCAAGTCACTGCACTATAACACATTATTACCAGTTGCTCTTCAACTTTTCAGGCTAAAAAGCTCTGTGTGTCTGGACCAAGACTGCTGCTAAGTGTGAGCATGGAGAAAATCCAAACGTTCTGGGGATCATCCAGGTGGGGATGTAAATAGGGGCCAAACATCAGTGGTGCTCATTAACCAAACCAGATAAATCAGTTGGGATTAAATTGACAGTCAAGAACTGATGAGCATCCAGCAGGACATTAGCTGGAAAAGCCCGGGTGAAACACCCACAACAACAGCAGCATCTAGCCTGACATTTGAACTCGCAACACCTCTGGTTGGTTGTCCACAGCCCAAATCAGTACTCCATGCTGCTTTCCCGAACCAACAGGCTCAGCAATATTTGCAACTACAGTCTTCTAAATCATAGTAAAGTGCATTACTCATTCTCATTGACACCGAGGACTGGAATGTGAACAGTTCCTGTTCCAGTGTTTCTGTTGTTCCCTTGACTAATTGGCCTCACAATTAGTCCTCACTTTACTGATAAGTTCTGTAACTAGTAGGGAAACCAGACAGCTACTTTTACTTTCCTTATAAATATTTCTACTTTTCCATCTTTGTAAATATGTGTGGTGTCATAGGATTGTAAACGCACTGTGTGTGTGTTCCTTTCAAATAGTATGCCAAATTAAGGATTTTGGTGTTTGAATTTATTAATGGAATAATACTGAAACCGTCTGTAAAAATATAAACATTTCCTTAATATCCAAATGCAACCAGAGACAAAAAGATGCTTTATTGAAAGAAAGTACATGTAATATGTCTAGTTACTTCATAATTGTAAGGACATCTACAGTAAATCAATCTTGTATAACATAAACGGTACTCACTTCTCGATCAAGGTAAGGTTTTATAACAGAAATCATGCCTGTTGTTTCATTCATGCTAAAAATCTGTGGCTCTGGTGGGGACTGGCTCACGATGCTGTATTTAATTTTAGTGTGGTCTGTAGCGGGGTCGTCATCATCTGTGGCGGTCATTCGCACAACAGGAGTTCCTAAAATAATTTAAAAATCTTGTTATCTGCGATTTCCTTTTAAGCCAAACTTTTAATGTGAATTAAAACATACAAGAAACACATAATAGGAAGGTTAGGAAGGTTTTGTGCCTTAAAATCAAGTGAGTTTTTAAAACTTCTTGTTCAGTTTATTTGGGTAATGAAGGCAATTGTCCATTTTAAGAAATAAATGAGGGGATCTTCCTGTAAAAAAACATTAACCTTGAAATCTTGAAACATTCATGAAATTCAAACTAAGGTCTTTGCATACTGTATCTGATCCATCATACACAGTTATTCTATGAGTGCATGTGTTACTGACTGGTGCATCGATCTTAGGTGCTATACTGTATAAAGGCTATCCACTGATTTTAGAATCAGAACAAGTAAGATCATGCCCATGGTCAGTTCAGTGTTGCACAATTTGGTTTAATTTCTAGGGAAGCTCCTTTCAGAAGTAGCCAAATGCAAAATACCTCATGTCAAATCACACAATACAATTACAATGAAAAAAATATATATATTTGCATGCATTTGCTGTGAAGTGTGGGATGTGATGTATGTGCCTCAGTACTTACAGTACATAGTGTGCCAAACTGAGCTTTAAATTAAACCCTAACCTCATGCACACAATGAGCATTTTTAGCTTAGCTAGCTAAAACAAAAACAAATAGAATAGAATCCATTGCCTGTTTCGCTCAGCTCATACACCTCTGCATATTTGTCTTCTTCAAACACGGGAGAACAATCATTTTTGTCTATAACTGCAATACGAAGTTTAATCTCCTTCTCCAGGATTTCCCCGTTTGTGTCTTTTGCAATCCCTGTAAGCTGAAAAGAAATGATATCAAAATAAACATAGTGAAAACCATGATTTCAAAGTACTGTATTATAAAATGCTGTTTTCATGGTGAGGAATGACTGTGAGTCGTCAGGCACATTTATCAGCAATAACTTAAATTTAAATTGCAAAAAGATTACTTACATTGTACATTGCGATTTTCTCCCTGTCCAGGGTGTCCGTTACTTTAATAAATCCGGTGTATGGATTAACGATAAAGACATTCAAAGGGTCTTGATCAACACCATTCCCATGTATCGAGTATAGGACTTTTCCAGAAAGAGGCACAGCGTCAGTTCGAATCTAAAGCCAAGAACATTCTCCATGTAGTGTTATTATTGATGTGATCCAGGTAATCAATTCAAAAAAATCAAACAATTCAACTGAAAAAGAATTCAGCCAGTTCGTAACAGCTGATTAACAGTTCAACTAAGAAATCACTGCCTGATGGCATAATCAGTTGTTATGTTTAAAGACACCAATTATCTTCCCAACTTAGAAGGTATTCTTGTATGAATAAGCAAATACCATCTAAAATTAGCAAGATGACATATGTTATTTAGCTTGTACCGCGTAAAAAAAAAAAGTCTAATTCAAAAGTACAAGAGCATAACTATAAATTATTGTGTATGAGTTGCAGGAAGACAATCTTTTTTTTTATTTCCGTATTTTATGAGTGTTCAAAGTTTTGTGTTAAACAGTTTTATTCTCAGTCTGTAAAAATACTTCAAAGACAAGCATTCACTGTTTCGACACATAAGGATTCCTGGATTTCCTAGTGGCATCCTATCATACACATAACACAAATCATTATTATTGAACACATTAGGATTAGAATGTACAGTACTGGAAACATGCACTGTATTTCTCAGTCCTTAGGCCATGGTATGACAAAACGTGGGGGTAGGGCAGTGAGTGGCTTAGGGGCTATGGCCTCTTTAGTTATGCTTATATTGATATAAGGTTTGTTGATCACATGGTCAATTTTGTCAAAATAATATTGTTGTTTCATGGAATACATTTGGCCTCTTTGAAGGAATTTGGAGGTAATCGTCTTGAGGTCTTTCTACATACTGTGGCCATGTTTCTTCTGTTTGTTATCGACGCATTAGAGCTTTTGTCTTTTTGTCTTCTCCCTTCTGAAGATGCTTTCTTTGGCATGGAAACTGACAATATTCGGACTGTGGATGTTGAAAGGATATTTTGTGCGTCATTGTGGAAAAACAGGGCATTGGTAAAGATGAGAACGTGCTCTGTGCATTTTGGTTTCTTTTCATAGACTGGCAACTCTGACACTGTAGTCTCCAAAAGGAATGTCTAAAACAAATTCACTTTATTGGCCATATACAGTTTCTTGCATTAGGAATTTGTCTTTTCACATACCCCAACTGTCACGCTCATTACACCAAGAAGGCGCTCTACTTTCCTTCTGTTTCTAGTTCCCTGTGATTGTTCATGTCTTTCCGGTGTGTCTTGTTGTGTAGCCTATTTATTTCCTGCTTCTGCTCTGCCACTTGCTCAACATTGTTGTTCAGTTGCCCTGAGACCCGCCTAGCACCAGGTCACTCCTGTCCTTGGCCTGAGGGCATAGGTTTCTATACGGCTTCTCCTGAACTGCTGAGCCCCGTCTTGGTGTTACACATAGGGTCTTTATCGCTCTCCTGCCATTCCACGGTTCGTCCTTTCGGACATACGTGACACCAACTTGCCGTCCATGAAACACACACACACGGAGAGAAGCTGGGGGTCAGAGTGCAGGGTCAGCCATTGTACAGCCCCCCTGGAGCAGTTGGGGTTAAGGGCCTTTCTCAGGGGCCCAACGGAGTAGGATTCCTCTGCTGGCTGCGGGATATGAACCAGCAACCTTCCAGCAACAAGCACAGATCCTTAGCCACAGAGCCACCACTCCACCCCACCTACTCTCTCCGTTGTCTATTCTCCATTGGCACATAAACCTTCCATTGTTTCATTGTCTGAATTTAGAGCATAGGCATATATTCCCTGCTAACTTTAGACAGAGTCATAAAGCAGTCATTGATTCCAACAGGGAACATTGGAAGGACTTCATTCTTGATGGCAGAATCCATGAATCTTATATTATTCCTTGGATGGAATTATCTTGAGAGCTGCTGTCCTGAGCTTTTTTAGATATTGAGTGGAGTTTGGTTTGGCGATGTAATGTCAAGTTACATTGGTGCTCTCACAATTAGGGTTGAGAACCTCCAAGAATTTGGTATTTGTCAGGACCTCTATCTCAATTACTTCTTCTCCTATGTACAGAATGTAAATTCTTCAAGGAGAAACAGGGTTGTGCGGCAGTTTTCATAGACGTAAACAGCTTGTTGTATTTCTTCCAGGTTGCACACGTTGCTGATCAGAACTGTTTCAGGTGGGTATTTTATCACAAGTCGTACAGTATGTATAAAGTACAAGATTTAGGGAGGCCATTCTTCTTCTTACAGACAAGAAACCCTGTTATCCCCAGTTGTTTATATGCATTTGTTGTCTCATCTTACAACTAACACATAATTGGTTCTAAGATTTAGCTCATAATAGGACCATTAAAATCAAGTTATTCCAGCTCATCCTGTTCCATAGCTGTATCTGAAGATCTCATCCAGCCATTTATATTAAAGAACCCAGTGTGGTGACTTTGACTACAAGGGTCGGTAGATTATTTCAGATACATTTGTGTGCCCCCTGTTCACAGTTTTAAATTAATTTCCCCATCGTGTAGTTTTGTGGTGCTGTGGCTCGTCTTGTAGGACGTTGATCTGCAAACGATGAAGAATCTGGTTTGAATTTCTGCTGGAAGAGGTGTTAGTGCGGCCTGTAGGGGGCGCTCACCCCGCAGTCCATGTGGGTCCTAATGCCCCAGTATAGTGTAATAATCCCCATCTCTGAATTGGCTTCATCGCTCTGCTCTCCTCTCCACTAATAGCTGATATGTGGTGAGTGTACTGGCACACTATGGCTGCCGTTGCAACATTCAGGTGGGGCTGCACATTGGTGGTGGTGGAGGGGATCCCCATTACCTGTAAAGCACTTTGAGTGGAGTGTCCAGAAAAGTGCTGTATAAGTGTAAGTGATTGTTATTATTAGTCAAGTGTGGATGTTACAAAGTTAAGATGAAACACTTTATTCTAAAACATGCATCCACTAACAAGGAGAGAACGATTTTAACCAAGGGACTCTATATAAAGGAAATCAGAGTTCCCCACCACCACCCAAAAGAAAAAAAAAAGAATAGCAAGCTCTCTTTGCTAGAACAGAACTCTAAGGTTGCTGTGAACAAGGTCTAATTGCCTGCAAATCGTTTTCTTTCTCTCCTTGTATCTTTCTGTTATCCCATCACCTTTCATCCCTGTCATTTTATCCTATTCTCCTGGACTGTTGATGACTCCTAACGATATGCCAAGAACTGAATTAGCTGAACTAAAACAAGTTAAAACTTTCGAGACACTTTGAGCAATTTCAGTTTCAGTTCTCCTACTGCTCAGCAGACAACTCAGTTCCCATTTCTTGCCTTGACGCTGAGAACCACAAATACCGGACCCCCATGACCACTGAGACACCACAACAACCACTTCAAAAGCTGTAACATTAGAAAACATGTTAAATAGGGTCAATTAAAGTGGAACAAAAAATAATATGATTTTATGAGTCATGTATTAACCAAATTCTAGTCCTTTATACAGTATGTGTTTGACCGCAGGATGGGTTGCTGTTTTACAAGTTGCCAATATTTTGAGGTTCCTGTCATCTTCACAATAATAATAATAATAATAATAATAATAATAATTATTATTATTATTATTATTATTATTATTATTATTATTATTATTATTATTACTACAAATACTTACTCTGGCAATATAGTCCTTATGTGTGTAGTCCTCATTCTCTGGTATATTTACAGGAGGAATAATCCACTCCCTTTTCTGCCTCTGGAGAATTTCCTTTGCCTCGACTTTGTTTTTCAAAACCTTTTGAAATAAGACCAGAACATACATTTCTCAAGTTTACGAGATGAAACCACTTCATCACATGACAATTGGGCAAAGTTTTGACACAATGACTTCGTTAATTGAATTGTTGAATTAAAATAACAGTTTTATTCAAACACAGATTGTCCAATCGTTGTTTTACGATGATAGTATAACATGACTACAGGGATGTAGCTTTTAACCATAAAAATAAATTCTGTTGCACTGCTAGGAGAAAACAAGACAATGAATGCTTCGTTTCTGACTTGCTACGTATAACCAAGGTTCCAGTTTTCAAAGGTGACTAATACATTTTCGACATCTAATAAAAATGTAGAGAAATTATTTTCAGTCATGATAAACTGATGATAAATTTAGATATTGAATTACTATCATTATTGTTAAGTATTGACATTCTCTTTACTTGCTATTACATATCTATTGTGTACTTTTGTACCAGCACCTATAATATATACAGTATGTGTTTTCTGTTCATTTTTTGTGAATTTGTTTGATTTGTCAAATTATGTAATAATTATTTTAAAAACTTGTTAGAATCCACTAGACTAGAGTGTTACACTCCGTTTGTGCATGTGTATATTAACACTTTCCCTATGATTGCAATAAAGACCAAGGTCAAGGATAAAAGGGATAAAGGGAAAAAGTCCCCATTACCCAATTAATACATGCAAATTCTGTAGATATCAGTTTATCAGTTTACAACTGGTGACATAACATTTGGTGAAATTACATGATCCAATTATATAATTGTGCTTGCATCATTGCAAATGAAAGCAAGCGTAACATAACCATTTAAAAAAAATAATATTGCCAATTTAATTTTTTCAGAATCAACAGGAATTCTGAAAGCTATAATAATCAGTGCATTTCTATGATTAAAGTTCTCACGGAAACAGCTTTGAACCAACCTTTATATTCAATCCTTTCCTAAAGCAGTAACTGGTCAATGGTATCCGAGAAAAGCAAAGATTTGAAAGCAGATATTTAAATACCTCATTATAGACCATATTGGTGATCATTGATGACTTGTAAATATTAAATATTTAAAAAATGAAAATTACATTTAAATATTTAGAACGTTTTGAATTCTAGGGGTAATCGTGTAGCATTCAGAATGTGTTTGTTTGAAAACAGAATTTTCCATTTATTTTTAATCTGAAAAGTGTAGCAATTAAAGTTAACACATTTTTCCCCAACTACTGGGAAAATGGTTGCTAGCAGTGAATGGATGCCTGGATCACCTCTAATAATTTCTTGAAAAAACCCAGGGTCTAGAAACAACGTTTCTGAGGAGCTTGACAGTGAACGTGTCTCCTGTTCTCAGATGTCTCTCTAGTCTCCATTTGTGTCCTCTAGTTGTCTTCTAGCTGTGTCTTCTCTGAAGCTGCTCGTTGGGTTGTCTTTGTCCGTGCCTTTTTGAGAATTGTGAATACTGATGTCTCAGGCTGATGAATGCCTCAGGCTTAGATGAAAAACACAGTTCTGCGCACGAAAGTGCTATTTTTGCATGCTGAATAAAACTACAGTGAAACGAAAACAATCACCCTTATTTTCTACTTCAAGAGATAACCGTTTCTACTCACCATTAGCATAACAGGCAGTAGCAGGCTGATGCCCGTGAGAGAAACCCAGGCCATGGCAGGTCAGTCCCCTTTAAAATTGTGGTCCTCAATTATAATCCAGCAAGGTACAGTTACTGCTGTTATTGGCTATCCTCTCTCTGCGCCCGTCTCAAAGGTCAGTCTTTTCTAAACAGAATAACTGGAGGACTGTGTTGTTTTATGGGGTTTCAAGTTATGCACACCCAAGCCTGCTGGGCCAGTCGAGGCAGGATGTTTTTCCAGGGAACTTCATTTGAATATAACATTCTGCAGTGTTTCCTATTGTATAATTGTTATAGTATTACATCTTCCCACATAATACAAATCAACAGAGAACTTAAAAACACTTTTATGTTAAGTTAAGACTACAATATTCCACAAAAAGCTATTGAATATAGAAACATAGTTGTGTGTAAAGTACGACAATGAAACCCCAGTTAACAGAAGTGGATGATCATCATTCATCCTATAGTTAGAGCCAGACTTTACCAATAAAGCCTAGACAATATCTCACTTTACTCCATACAGTGGAGGGTACTCTTTATGGGGTCAATGACAATGGACATACAGTATGTCCCTGCTCTGGATTCAGACAATAAAACAAGTATGATTCTTGACCAAATTCTCTTGGAATTCCAAAGGAGGACTCAATCTACTTGGAGATGCCAAAAGCTTAAAGAAATACCAATAGTATCTTTGGCAAGGAAGGACATGGAAATGTCAGCTCCAAAGGTATTCTTCTCCTTACCAAATGAATAGACTATGGTTACTCATCACCAATATCCTGTCAGGCAACAGACAGGAACCATCCTGGCAACATCCATGGCTCAACACTAGCACTTGACTATGTCATTGTCTTTGTCCTGAATCACAAAGATATCCACATAACCAGAGAACTGAGAGGAGCTCATAATTTACTGGCTCAACCTTGTTAAGTATGTCTATCATGCTGGGTCCCTAACACTACTTTGGGACTTAGGGAAGCACTGTATCCAATCAAAACAGAATGTTTTGAAGAGTGCATGAGGGAAAAGCTCTCAAACCTGAATAGAGCACAGAAGAAAAATGTGCCTGCTACTTGGGAAACAGTCAAGACGTATACCACCAATGCCTACAAAGAGACACCTGGATTTGAGGGAATCCAGCCAATGTGGATGAGACAACACCAAGACTGGTTTGAGAGGAATAATCAGAAGATGAAGGAGCTTATGTTCCACAAGCACAAAACCTTCTTCTTATTACAGGGTGACCAAGACTCTGTAAGTATACCCTTACTCACCAACAAGCACAGGCAGAGGCTCAAAGAACTTGTGATAAGAGGAACAAGCAGTGGACAGACAAGGCAAAGGAAATTAAAAATCTTGGAGACATAAATAAAACCCATGGCTTGCTCGGTGCCACAACGGCTGTTTACGGTTTTGATCATAGGGCAGACTTGATCAAAGAAAGCGATAACAAAAACATAAGAAAGATCACAAACAAAAAGAGGCCCTTCTGCCCATTTGGTATTTATAAAACATATTTGATCATAGTTAGTCAAATACTGGGGTTTTCCTCCCTCTGAAGAGTTATACTATTAATATTGTAAAGGGACAAGTAATAGGTTTATTCCATGCTGAAAAGAGAAGAAAGAAAACACAACATTTCGGCTGTAAAGCCTTCTTCAGGTGTGAAGAAGGCTGAAGACACCTGAAGAAGGCTCCACGGCCGAAACGTGTTTTCTTTCTTCTCTTTTCAGCATGGAATAAACCTATTGCTTGTTCCTTTGCAGCCTACACATGCTGATGCAGCTACCCACTTGAACCATTATTATTGTTGTTGCTTATGATGTTTCTTGATTCAGAAATGAATGACCTAGGTATTTATCCTAGTACGACTTATCATCATAAACACACTCCTGGCACTACATATAACCTGAGAGTTTTCACCTGGAGCCCCATGAAAGGATAGAAAAGTATTTTAGTTTACAGATAAAATTAAACTCAGAATGTTTTGTCAGTTTCAAAGGAATTAATTATTTCGTTCCTCTGAAAAGGTTCAGTTGCATCATTGCTGAAAACACAAAGCTAAACTGGTTAGAAATTACGCATCATATTTGCATATTAATGTGGACTGAAGCCATGAGGAAATTATTTGAATTTGTTAACATGTGTATCAACCCATGTTGATGATCAGTGCCAGTTACATTTCTCTTTAGGTTTGCCCAGCACCAACACAAGAAATTTACAGCATAGTGAAATGCATGATTTCCAGGAAATCCAGGAAACAGCCTTTAAACGCATACAAATAAATATTCTGATATTGATTTATTTCCATAATTTAAATTTGCTATGGATGTGACGAATTGTAAAAACACAGGCCAATCACAGAAACCTATGCACAGTGTTAGTACATTGTACTGCATATGTTCTCACAGGTGTAGGGCTTTTTGTGGTGAGTGGAAAGTGGTTAAGAAGCAAGAGGAGTAAGAAAACCTACTGTATTAACACCTTTTATACACATGGGACACCTAAAATAATTTGGGTTCAAGTAACTGATATTGTCAAGAACTACAGCATGCAGCAATTTTTATTTTATGAAAGTTTTGAAGGAAAACTAAAGTTAACAAATGCAAATATCTGAAAATATCTTAAATGGATAGCTACATTAACAATTTGGTGTTTTTGTAACATACATGCAACACTGTGAATATATTTAATTAAATAAAAGGTAAAATTGTGTCTGAATTGAGGAGGGCTATTAGCATCAACTGTACGGCAATTTCTACAATGTATTCAGCCAGGTGAGAGACACTCTCGTTGCAAATTGTCAGCTTAAGAAGAAGACTGCAATGCCTGTGTTCTGTCAGTTTTTGTAAGTTGGGTCTGATTCACAGCACATCACAAAGGTGGATGACTCTTTTATTGTCTCAACAAAATATAAGCTAAAGTCTTTAAAAGTTGCTCTAATGGAATGTTAGCTTGCACACTATCCCAGACACTGCAGACTGTCCCACCCTTTTTGTGTGGTGTCTCCTCTGGGGAAATTAGGATACTTCCATGATAACAATCTGGAAGCTGGAGCTCTTGGGGGGAGTTACGTAACATATTATTCCGAAGCATTTGAATTAGCTCCACCTGAACTGAATTCTCAGTGAAAATCAATGGTCAAGGTGAAAAGGCACAAGTATGTCTTCAAGGGGAACCGCAGTCCCAATTTTTCAGACTGGTTATTAAATCTCGGTAACTAAATTTGATGATAGTATAGAAACATTTTACAAATTACGAATTAAGCACAAAATCGTGAACCTAATGAAAGTACTGTATGTTGCCATGTTGTCACAAACTGCTGGTCTCGCCACGGACAAGACCGAGAGTTCCCACAAATTGTGATGTGAAGCGGCCCTTCCTACTCACTAGTCACTGTAATGACTAATGTAATGCGATATACGAGTGAATAAGTACAGCTTGTGCAGCAGATATTTTACAATCGAAATGTCCTAAAGTGATCTCCATACAGAGTCAACAAGTAGGCAGTATTTTTTGGAAAAACCATCTCGAAGTTGAGAGCAATAGTTTTATTGGATTAAAAGAGATGTACTCACAAGCCTGCTTGTTTAATGTACCAGGGCAGCTTCACCACACCAGAAATTTTGTTGCCTCATTTGGAGTCGCAGAACATGGCACTGTGCATACCTGGAAAACGTGTCTATTTTGTGAGGCAAAGGGGATGAGTTTACAAGTTATTGTTAACATCTTACTTTTATAGTGGTTTGAAATCATCAATGCTGATTCTTTGTAACCCCAAGATATAAAAATAGCGGTGCAGTTCCCCTTTAAAATCGTTTTCCCATCACTTGGAAATCCTGAAAGCATCTGCAGATCAAATAATTATTGGTATTATATACACTAATACCTATATGTTTTTGTTCATGAACCCAGCAATATCTTAAGTGGGAAAAAACATTCTTCGAGGGCCTTGTGCTCCCTGTTTTGTTTCAGAGACAAAATCTCACAACAGATGCCTTTATTCTTGAACCCATTTTGTAACACATTTACTGTTTACATTTACAGCCCGTGATGTCAAATTATCATCGGCCGCACCGTGAAACAATAAAGCTGTGGAGCCTCCATTGTGCCGATGGTCATGCTCCAATACAGTTACCATACAGTAAAAACCAGACGGTTGTGCTACAGTATTTGTGTTGCCTGTCCCTTTAAGTTGGCTGCGATGGCCTGAATTCTTCTGGCTACTTTGTTTTGAAGAACAATAAGAAATTCCAGTTTCTTATTGTGGACACTGTGTGTATGCTTCATGACTCATCCTGATACCTCTCTCTTTAGTTTCATTTTCTCAAAATACACACACACACTTGCTGTAGTAACAAGGTCATGTATAGTTGTGTGTGCCCTTCATAATCAGTTTGGCCTTTTGTACGAATTAAAGGATGAACATGGAGCCTCACATCTTTTGTAGCGCTCTGCATTTTGTTTCATTGCAGAAGGATGCTGCGTTTGGCAGTGCCTGTGCCATACCTTCATCACATCCATCCAGGACAGAGGCTGCTGCTGCGGCTCTGCAGCCTCAGCCCTCCACTGTAAACACGTAGCTGTGCTGTGTGCCCACCACACCTCAAGTGCTTTTCTTTCAGGGTTCCTGATGTTGGCAAACCTGCCGGAAACTCTCAGTAACTTTGACAGTTTGAATAATCATCATCATCATCATTTCAGAAACCAAAGGACTCTGTACAAGATAAAGAAAGACAAACATGTAGATAAAGAAAAGTACTAAAAACATACGATAAAACAAATAATAAACACGAACATTCAAGTTTATACAGATAGAATGTAGGTCAGTTAGACACTGGCCAGGGTAAAAAGGTGCGTTTTAACGCTAAATCGAAGAGCCCAAGAATTTCATTCTTGGAAAGAGGCAAAAGAGAGGGAAAAGATAGCTGCTGGATAATTATATGCTACTTGTAGACTCCTGCCAAACCACCACTGCGAACAACAGTGCTTGATTTCCCTACATGAGTCAAGCCTGAAGGAATACATTATTTTGATCAAATAAACTCCTTTGGTCATTACCAGGTCTCAGTTCCGCACAGAACATCAACACATCTATCAGTGATGAAATCGTTTAGCATTTCGCTCTTCCGATTTAGAGAGCGGGGCTGTTTATGAATGCAAATTGCCCCCCTTCCAATTTGCCTTTCCTCTCTCTTCCTAATCTCTCCCACTCCTTCTCTCTCCATTTTTGGTCAAGCGTCCAACCCACTTGACCTACTGGTCCTGTTTACTGTTTCTTCTCTTCCCCTCTCCCCTGCGAATCTTGTTTTCACCCTTTTTTCAAGGACTTGGTGGGAACAATTGTGTTAAAGCATGGAGAGAGACTAAAAACATCTGTACAGTATATAGAGTACAGGAGATAGCTGGTCTGCACAGGTTTTAAGGACACATGGGGAGACACCATCTGGGCCAGATGCTTAATGGGTTTTCACTCTCTGAAAGGCTCTGCACACCTCATGTTTAGAGAGCGCTAACACAAACTCCCCTGGTTCACTGGGAGCCTTGATAGCAGTCTCAGTCTTCTGAGCCTCAAACCAGAGATGCATCAGCAGAGGACATACAGTACCACTGGTGTTGCCTTTATAGCTTATGATAGCCTGTAAACCTTTTGCCTTGAGCTGCCCCCAGGCTGTTTTTCTAATTTGTCCTTGTATTCCTGTTTTGCCAGTTTGATAGCTTTTGTCCAGGTTATACTTTGATTTTCTATACAGTATATGTTGCCTGATTGAGAGGCAACACGCCATGCTTTAGGTTTATAGTTAATGTCTTTGTTCATCCAGTATTTCCAATTGGGGTATATCCATATCTTCCTGGTGGGAAGACATCTGTCCACAAACGAACTGATGTAGATTTGACCACCCTGTATACTCATTTAGATCAGTGGAAGAATCTTTGAATATCAGTCATTTCACAACAGTCTCCAGGTTTTATACTGTAATCATTTAGCATTTCAGTCTTCCGATTTAGAGTGTTTAGAAAATGTTAATGAATGCAAATTATCCGCCTTCCCTCTGTCTTCTTAATCTCTCCCACTACTTCCTCACCCCCTTCTCTCCATTTTTGGTCAAGCGTCCAACCCAATTCACCTACTGGCCCTGCTTATATCTGAGAGAATTTCTACGTCATTGTGCCAAAGATTATTAACCATGAAAAACACTCCACCTCCATTCTCCTTGCCGGGAGAATAAGATGCCCAGTCTATTCTATACAGCGTAAATCCAGCGGTATCGAGAACGCTGGGTTTCAGCCAGGGATCAGTGAAACAGAAGACGCAGCAGTCTCTAAAGTCGGGCTGAGTGTTGAGTCGACAGTGAAGTTCGTCAGTCTTACTGTCCAGAGATATTGGGGAGCCAAGGTCGGCGGGCACGCTGCCAGAACGGCACTAACACTCCTCTCCTCTTACCCCGCTTCCTCTTGCGTTTGTGTCCCAGACCCAAAGCTGTCCTCTTTCGACTCCAACGAAGTCAGATCCGAAGCTCTAAATCTCAGGTCCAAGCGTGTTTCTTGGTCCCAGGTGATGGTTGCATACAGTACATATTGTTTTTGTATTACACAGACATTACACGAAAATAAACACCCTAAACAGCAGAGCCACGTGAGACGTTGCCATGAAAAGGTGCCGCCACATACAAGATGATTCCCACTCATCCAGCTTGGACTAAAGTCTTACCCATTACATCTAGCAAACTTCAGAAAGCAACAACTCACTTCTGCTTTCCGCATCAGGCTACTTTCCTGGACCACCGCAGCATTTCCGCTTCCCACAACTGAGTTCTATCCCAAACTACCCATTACCGCTACCTGCTAACCGGTAGATCTTTCCCTGCTCCTGTGCTGTAGCGTCTTCCTCTGCCCGCCACAGAGCTCCCATCCAAGCTAGGCTGTCCCGCTGCTGCATCTGGCGTCTAGTGCAGCCATCTGTTCACTGACTCGCAGTTCAGGGGGAAATAAGTAATGATTACCCCACAGTTCAATGAAAAACAAAATTGAAGATAACAAACCAGGAAAAGAACCTTATCAGATATTGCAATAAAAAATAGACAGATCAAAAGGTTGATGTAAAAGCAAGAACCCGCATGCTGAATACAGCCAAACAAGGTAGAAGAATTGTGAATGATGGATTGGAAAAACTGAAATATATATAAAGCATTTAAGCGTACGCACTGTACAGGATTTTATTTAATAGGCTACTGAAATTCTATTCTTTTCACTCAACATTTTGAAACAGGGTTTTCTTTAGCACAAGAAAACAGAACCATTTTTTCCCTTTGTTTTTCTTTTGTTCCGTGTTCTTGCCACAACATATCGTGCCCATTCTTCCTCATGCTATGTTGGCGCCCTAACATGCCACATTTGCAAAAGAGGCGCAGCCACCCACCCTGATGAGAAGAGCAACAGTAGGAAAATTACTGATGTGGGGGAGGTACCGTAACTGGAAGTGACACAACTGTAAACACAAGGCAGCTGCCAAGGTTGGAACATGAATAGGTGCCACCAGGCTCATGTTGCAATATATAAAAGGTGCAAAAGAGTCCATTAAAAAAAAACAGTGTTCTTCCACACAAAATACAGTTTCAGGGACTGGGCATGTCACGACAAGCACTCTAGATTACTGATTACTGTGCGTATACTGCAAGTATGGGAGGGTGTGAGTATTCTCCTAGCTAACTGCAATGGAGATGAATATGTAGAAACCCATCAGTGAGGGGGCAGGTTTCGCCACAATAGACTGAGATCAGTGGCTGGCAGCTTTTCCATATAAAAAACAAAGAAAAAACAGAAGCAAATATGCACACCCCTGTACGACCGTGGTGGGGGACGCATATGGTTATTCATCTCTGTGCATTTTGCTGATTGCTAGTAGAAAAAGGAAACATTGGCAGAAGACAATTATTAGTGATCTGTTGGGTGCTGCACCTGGAGGAATATAAAAAGCATCCCCCTGCAGGCTTTCTGAAAGGGAAAAGGAATGGGTTTTGTTTTACATTCAACTGCTGTGGGATAACGTGCGAACCCTTGTTCGAGATCAACAGGAAGATCTAAACAAAACCTGATTAGCTATGCAAGAAACCTTCCTCTGCAGAGAAAGGCTGAATACGTTCTGCCACATGTTACTGCCAGGTACAGTACGTAAACATTCTGATAAAGATGACACTGAGATGAAATCTCCTTTTCTAAGTTTATTTGTATATTCTCCTGAGAGGAAATTCAAAGAGTGAAATAATTTTATGACTTCCTGGTTCAATTTGTTTTTCAACATGGTTATACGATAAACTAAAGAACAGTGCACATTTCACTTGTCTGCATTGGCTGTTACATCACAGACGGCATGCGGAGCATACAGGGGTCACTGATGTCTGATAATTGTTCTGACCAACATACACTTGACACAAGCCTGAAGCCTACATGTTTATATCTCAGACGTGTTCATGGGAGACCAATCCAATGAAGCTTAAAGGCCTACAACAAGTTTGTAACAGCTTGAGAACGAGTTAAGAATGGTGTTGTGGAATTCAATGGCCAACTTATTCCTCAAGTGCTTGATTGGGTTCATATCAGGCAGTCATTCAGGACAGTTCAGCACTTGCTACTACAGTATGTGCATGAAGGACTCCCTGTGTACTTTTACCATTGTCATGCTGGCAAATGAGCTGTCTGTATCCCCCAGATACTGAGGGTCCGACCAAGCAAACTGTGGGCTGTTTATAGGCAATGAGACTACCCTGTGCAATAGGTTCAGAGCAGAGCTCAATATTAACTCAAATCCACACTATCACTCTTCCACCAAACCAAGCTTGCTCAACAAAGTCATGCAGTACACAAAGTATTGTAGTTTTAAAACTTGCTTATTTCTCTACCACTACACTGTTCCCAAAAAAGTAAAGAAGTCATGTGTTGTTGTTGAAGAACCTCTGAGGTGGGTGTTTTCTTATTTAATTTTCAGAATACATTTATATTCAAGCTGGTTTTGGAACTGGCTAATATGTGGTATTAACATCACTACCCCCTTAACATACCCATATACAATATACTGAATAGTTATATCTATTTATGAGTCAACTGTAAATGGTTTTGTGTATCCCAACTGAAAGGGTAACATTACTACCATCCATGCACAATGAGTATTGCTTTTAAAACAATCAGTATTTTATGTGTCCTTTGCAACCCTTATAATACCATTTACTGTATACTAACATGCATTATAAAAGATTAAACATATACATTTCTAACAACATCATACAGCTTGGTGTATACATGCTGTAGTGTATGACCCTGACTAACTGTTGCTCAAAGGTGCTTTGTTTCAGCTCTGAGAACACACAGTACCAGAATCAAAAGAAAATAAGAAAAAAAATGAAAGGAAGAGTGTACTCTATAGATCTTTTACAACAGATCCCAAAATCAAAACACAGAAAAAGAGTACGCTAACCTAAAAGTGCATCTAAAAAATAGAATTGCAGAGAGATAAAAAAATATTGCAAAGAGGTAAAAAAAACCATTAAAGTGCAAAACGTTTAAAAATAATCCCTTCACAAAAGAGATAACATTTGATTACATTCTTTTACATTTTCTTATTGGAATTTGTTATATTGTACATAACACAAATCTACTATTTAACAGCCAATGTCTAATACAGATTATTACAGTAAGGGTTAAATGCTTTTGAGATGTCAGATTATTAAGGCAGGGGTCGTTTTAAGATAACTACAGTGTTGTGAAAAAGTATTTGTCCTGATTTCCTCTATGATTGCAGATTTTTGACACTGAATGTTTTCAAGTATTCAACCAAAATCTAATATTAGATAAAGGGAACCTGAGAGAACACTTGGAACAGTAGTGAATCTTCCCAGGAGTGGCCGTCCTGCCAAAACTTCTCCAAGAGTGCAGTGTAAAATCATCCAGGAAATCACAAAGGATCCTAGAAAAACATCCAAAGAACTGCAGGCTTCTCTTGCCCTGGCTAAGGTCCGTGTTTATGACTCCACAATCAGAAAGAGACTGGGCAAAAATGGGCTTCATGGGAGAGTAGCAAGGCAGAAACCACTGCTAACCAAGAAGAACAGAAATGCTCGTCTCTCATTTGCCAAGAAGCCCCTGGATGATCCCCAAGCCTTGGGGGAGAATGTTCTACTATTTTTCTGGAATTTTTGAACAACATTGGTCCCATTAAGTCTGGTGTAAAGCAAACACAGCATTCCACAGTATGAACATCATACCACCAGTCACACATGGTGGTGAGAGTGTGATGATGTGGGGATGCATTGCTGCCTCAGGACCTGGACGACTTGTCATAATTGAAGGAACCATGAGTTCTGCTCTGTATCAGAAAATTCTTAAGGAGACGTGTGGTCATCTGTCCGTGAGCTGAAGCTGAAGCGTAGTTGGGTCATGTAGCAAGACAATTATCCAAAACACAAAAGTAAGTCCACATCAGAATGGCTGAAAAGACCTAGTCAAAGCCCAGACCTAAACCCAAGAGATGCTGTGGCAGGACCTGAAATAAGTAGTCCAAACCTACCAGTGAGTCTAATAAAAGCACTTCTGTGAGGAAGAGTGGGCTAAAATTCCTCCACAGCGATGTGAAAGACTGATATTGAATTATAGGAAGTGTGTGGTTGCAGTCACTGCAGCTAAAGGTGGTGAAACCAGTTATTAAGTGTAAGGGGGCAATAACTGTTTCACACAGGGGATATGGGTGTTGGATAACTGTTTATTAAACAAATGAAATAATGAGAAAAAAGTGTTTTGTTCACTCAGGTTCCCTTTATCTAATATTAGATTTAGTCTAAAGATCTGAAAACAAATATGGAATAACAGAGGAAATCAGGAAAAACAAATACTTTTTCACGGCACTGTAATCCACTGGTTTAACTATTTTCATGGTGTGTTACAATGGAGACAACATGACTGAAACAGAATGGATAAACAAACTCACTTCCTGCAGTGTTCGCCTGTATGGATGCCTTTAACAAGATGTTTTGGTCTAAAATAAGGGAGAAAACTCATTATTTGCAAGTTGTGGAGAGACTCCATGAATTTCTGTATGTTGATGGTGTTATAATGTGATGAGGATATTTTCGAAAGCATAGACTGGGAAATAAATTAAGCAAGGAAGCGGATTGATTACAGTACATGCAGTTTACACTCATGAATAAAGGTCCAGTTAGAATGAAAATAACCCGACACACTGGTCTCTCTGGATCACAACTGAGATTCTCGGCCCCAGAGCAATGCACTTCAAAGGGAATTGCAAGGCTATTTTTACATTTTTGGGTTAGAAAGAATCAGATTGATGAGTGCATTTCAAACCACAATAAAAGTAAAACGTACACAGTAACTTGTAAAACCTCCACTTTACATCACAAAACAGACTACATTTCCAGGTATGTGATACAGAAGAAGGCAACTAAACTTCCAGTGACGTGATGAGGCCCTGTGACATTGTAAAGAAGCGGGCTTGTGAATACATCTCTTTCAATCCAATAGAACTATTGCTCTCGCCTTTGAGATTTTTGAGACCGAGTTTTGCAGACAAGTACTAATTACTTGTTAACTGTGCATGCAGGTCATGTTGTGACATTCCTGGAGTGAAATGTCTGTTGCACAACCTGTACTTATTTGCTCATATATCACATTACACTAGTCATTACAGTGACTAGTGAGCAGGAAGGGCTGCATCATATGGCAATTAGTGGGAACTTGAATGTGAGTTTGCAACAACATGGCGACATGACAAAGTTCACGATTTTGTGCTTAAAAAATTCGTTAAATTTTTTTTCCCCACCAATTAATTAATTTTGTTACCAAGGTTTAATAACTGGTCTGAGAAATTGGGACTGCAGTTTCCCTTTTACCCATAGTGTTCTGGCACACCCCACTATATAATTTGGCTCCAATAGTCTTTTTAATTTCTATGCATCACCTAAGGTCAAAGCATCAGGTGAATTGAATAATTCAAACAAATAAATTATCTGTCACTTACATTCAAAGGACATCACAGTTTTAGCCAAATCAGGTGAGAAATCATCCACATCACTCATGAAAACAGACCCCCTATCATTCCACCCTACTTGAAACTGAGCTAGATGATACTCTTTTTTTCTCTAAACATCATATTCTGTTTTCCAGATAGGTCTACACTACATACAGTTCCTTGATAAAGCCCAGCAATCCCTTCCTGCAAGAGTTGGCCTGATCCTGCCTTCCTCTCCACAAACACCACATTCTGTGACCCTGGCAGTCCAACCCTGTGCACAGCCCCTTGATTAAGCCCAGCAACCCCCTCCTGCACAAACTGCCCTGATCCAGCCTTCCTCTCCACTAACACCACATTCTGAGAGCCTGGGATTTCACTCCTGTTCAAGGTGCCATGGAGGACACCCAGTGCTCCACCCTGCACAGCAGAGCCAGACACAACTCTGTTCTCCTGAACCAGGACCTTCTCAGAGCCTGAGCCTTCATTCAGCAGCAGCACACCCTGCACATTAGGAGCAGCTGGCCTTTCTGAGAAAAGCACGGTGTTGTGGACCTGCGGCTCCACAATGTACCGAGTGGGTTGAACCGCTGGGGTGGTAGTGTAATAGACAGGCTGTTGGATGACATATGCAGGACTGGGAACAACGACATTTTCTCTGAGGTGCATGGCTGGGAGAGTGGTGGAAGAATACTGCTCGGTGACAATGTTTTTCTGGATCTGGGGCTGAGGAACTGGGCTGGGCTGAGGTCTCACAGCATCAGTTGTCACAGTGTTTTCTCTCTTGATCTCTGTGCGAGTTACAGCCACATCCTGGACAGTAGGCATGGCAGGAGGGACCACAAGTTCCGATTTCATTTCTTTACTTGTGCAGATCTCAGCAAGGGTCTTAAACTTGGGTCCCAGGTCATTCAGGAACTCCAAATCATCATCTCCTTCAATGAAACTGCAGCATCCCACTGAACCCACAGGGGATTCTCGTCCTTCAAAGTCATAAATCAGTAAGCCATCTTTCTGAATCTGGTCTTCCTCTGTAACATACATTGACTTCTACGGCAAAAAAGACAAGACAATCATGAAAGAAGTCCTCATTAGATTTCACCTATATATAAGCTATGTACAATATACTGTATATACACACATGCAGCATGCTCAATTACACAGGGCAGAAAGGGCACCATTGAAAAGGACTGAATCTTCAGAGGAATAGTTTTCTTATCTTTCATGATTTAGTAAGGCAGAAAGGACCTGCTGTACATTATTAAACCTATAAGAATATTTGAGTGTCCATAAACACAACACACAGAACAGGTTACTGTGCCATGAGATGATGATTACATCATTTCAACTGGAATTTAATTCACAACTGGCAGCCCACAGAAGCTCAGCAGGTGTGAGCCTGACCAGAATCTGGATGGGAGGCCTCTTTCTCTCCTGAGAAAGCTAAGGTTGCAGCTAGAAGAGGGGTTAGTGGGCCCAGAAGTTTCGTGCTCACCCTGCCCTGCGGTCTCTGTAGATCTTAATTCCCCAGTATAGTGATGGGGACACTATACCATAAAAAAGGCACTGCCCTTTGGATGAGATGTAAAACCAAGCTCCTGACTCTCTGTGGTCATTAAAAACCCCATGGCATTTCTCAAAAAGAGTAGGGGTGTTACCCCGGCATCCTGGCCAAATTTTCCATTGGCCTTTACCAGTCTTGGCCTCCTAGCAACATTTCTTTTAAAGCACCCCATATAGTATTAATGACCTGCAAATTAGTTGTAATTCAAGCCAGTTACCTGCATGTAGTACTCTTTCAAATAAGCATCAGGGAGTGCAATTCCATCATAGTAACTTTCCCGGACTTCAGACTTGGAGTTGCGAATACTCGAGTTCTGCCGGTAACTCATGTCTCCCAGAGCTCGGCCATCAGACTCTGCACTGACGCCGAACCCGGACGTCTTTTTAATTGTCCTCTGTCCATTGACGAGGCCGCCTTCTCCAGTCACCGTCTGCGACCCTCTCGAACCTGCAGCAAGCGTCCCCATGCCAGGCACGAACCCTCCTAAGTAAGCTTCCAGAGGCGGGACCGCCTGTGAGCACAGAGAGGAAAAGTGAAAAATACCTGCGCTGGATTGCTATGTGCAATCCCAAAACACCTTTGATGAAATATAGATTATATCTAACTAATCCTGAATCCTCACTCTGAATGAGTGGATTTACTGACTGATTGAGCCAATTCTCCAGTATTCCAGAGGCTTCCTGTTGCTTTTCTATTCACTAAGATACGTGTAAGTGAAACTCCACGCATTATGTTCATAGCCCCGAAACAATAACTCCTGGCACTTCATAACTCGAACAAAATGTGTGTCTTTTGATATTAAAGTTAATTACATTTTCCTCACGTTGTGCGTTTGTCAAGAGTAATTTCCTTTTTGAAAGCACTTTTTCAAAAGTTTTCACTCATTCAAAATAATTGAGGGAATTATTCTTAATTCAGGTTTAAGTCTTTTATAATTTAAACACTTGTATCTTGTAACTTTCCACTCCAATGGTTTTGAAAGTATGTAGCTCTGCTTTTGTCTATATATGCTGAAATGTCAACATACAGTATGTTATGTTGCATGGCATAACTGCCATATTTTCCTGGCAGAGTTATAAAAACAATGAGGAACTTGCTTCACTGCTCTTCACGTGTACAGCTAATGTCAAATCCCTTTTATGGACAAGTTTTACAGATTTTACTGTATAAAAAGACCACTCTTTGTAATACTTCTTTGAGTCTGGCCTGCAAGAGCTAGGCTCCCATATGCATATGTAATAAAGAAGACTTCCTGCTACATGGACAATTACTGTTGTTTGACACAACATAATATACAGTAGGACCCACTCTTTTTCTAAAAGGACCATGTTCAACTTGACGTGAAGCTGTGTGGCTGAAATTCATTCCCTTCCTGCATGTGCATCACCCTGGACTAGAGACATGTGATTGGATTAACAAACCGATGTTTTCTCAGTCCATAAACTTACAATATATCAGGATTGTGGAGACAACAATCTCTAGAAAGGCCCAACAAGAACTCCAGTCTCATCATGCAATTCAATAGCACCAACCCCCCAAAAAATTGAAGGAAAAATTACTTTCATTTTTGGTAGTCATTCATGGCTTATGGAAAATCTCAAATACCCTAGATTTTTATTATTGCATTTGGGGTTTCATTTTCAATTGTATGTTACTATAAATTTTACTGTTACTGTAATTTCTAATATGATTTAAATGATCTCTTATTGGTACTTTAAAACAACAGCATTGTAATACTTATAATAGGTAAAAAGTTAACCAGGAAACAAATTTAATTTCAGGTTTTTACGTATTAAACCTAAACCATAATAAGCCATAAATAGACTATAATTAATTTCACTTACATTTCTCTGATTTGGTGGTATCTCGTCCAATATGCTTGTGTCTTTTTATAATTAACAACTACTACAGTAAACAGGGCTTCTTTTCATCTTTTAAGATTAAAATTTATTTTATTTACTTCAATAACTAACTTTGTCATTACAGTTAATTACATTCAAGCACTGGGATAGCTCAGCTTACCTTGTCTTCGCCTTGTCCTTCTGTGTGATATGAAATCAAATGCTCTTTGGTAGCAAAAGGCATGTCAAGAAAATACCCCCCTCTGCCTCCAAGCCCTCCACACGAGCAGAACAGCAGTAGGAGAGGCACCACTGTTGAGCAGAAAAAAGCCATTCATTAATGCACACAACGTGTCATCCTATATGATCTCACAAGCTAGTAAACATTTAAGAGAAGCTACAGTATTACCTTAACAATACTACAAGATCCAGGTGTATTTCCCATAGACTTTGACAAAAATGTACAACCAAAACAATACAGCATATCTAAAAACCTCACCCAGCTCTTCATGTGTATTTCAGCCATTAGTGTGATTTCCCACATTGCTTCTGGGAGGAACAAACTAACATTGCATAGCAACTGGCCTCTGCGCCAAGGACACCACCTGACAAGAGACCTGGATCACCTGGAGGCTATTTACTATCCCGCCATTCCAGGTGATTCAGGAATATTAAGGGACTGCTCTGGGCTCCATTATTGAGTTCAATATCTGAGTCTCTCACACTTTGTACTAACTAGTCGCTACCTTTGTTTTGCCTCCTTTGTCTTGCTTTAATTCCTGACCTCCCCTTGGCTGTTCTTGCGCCTTCCCATTTATGACCCAGATCAGCCGACCCCTGAACCTCCAATTAATCTGAACTCCTGACTCTCTAGTCAACTTCACACCTGCCTAAACATCCCACTCAGCTTGCCCCCACACAGTGTTTCTACTTGTCTCCTCCTCAGCGGCATGGGTGCCTGGCTGTGCAGCTTGGAGACCCTGCCTGCAGCTTTGAACCACTGCACAGCACTGCACTGCACTGCAGGCATTTTCAGCACACTAGGTTCCCCTCACCTCTTGCCGAGCAAGAGGGTTCTCCCACACAGCACCCAATCCACCACTAGTCCCTCCAAGCAGTGGGATTGTTACAGATAGCTGTACAAAACATATCTGAAAGCAGGATGGTTTGCATATTCATTTGATTGGAATTTGAAGGTGTTGAATGAAAATGTAGATAGATAATTAAAGAGTGAATACTGAGTTTTCCAGTGTTTGGCTGCTTAGATCATCAAAGGAAACACACAAAAGTAGGAAGTACAGAAGCCAGCGTCAACAATGCCTTCTCTCAGTAGAGCTGCACTTCAAAATAAACTGTTCTTAAAACTTGATGCAAGTTAATCTGGTACACAAAATCTGCTGTAACATTGTTTAAGTTTTACATGAGAATTCTTACACTGCAGTATTCATTAGGTTAGTACTCTACCACCAACGCAACATGTTACATTAAATCAAGAAACACAAATGTGCTGTCATTCAGGAATAGAAATGAAACTTGTAATACAGTCCTAAGAATTGTAGCTTAAGGACTGAAACGCATATAATAATAGTGAAAGCTAGAGAACAAGACAAAAATACTGTATTTATATTTATATATTTCATTTTGTATTTTATTTTTTAACTTTTATTAATAAAAGGTTAATTTATTAATACAATTTCTTCCACCTCTGTAGTTATGTGTATGCACAGAAATGATAAATGACCTGAGAAATGCACATATAACTGATTAAAACACAGTATATTATAAGCTGTTCATCACATCTCTTCCAAAGTTAAATCAGTTTTACAAAATCTGATGAATTATGTTCAAATGAAAGAAGAACCTCAATTCTCTACAAATTAAAATAACATTAAAACCGGGTTTCACATTCCTAAACCTGTTTCATTCCACAGAGTTGTTTTGAAAGGTGTTCTCACAGAAACTCCCTAATATGACTTTGGAATGAATGGCATCATAAACATGCTTTTGAATCAGCATGTAGTTCGCAGCACTTGGATTTCAATGAACCAAATGGGACTTATAGACATTTTAAAAGAAGGAATATTTTCTATCTTTATCTTTAAACGCTCTCTGGCGTCTCATGTGAAGAGAAGGTAAACCACTTCTGCAGTAAATGGAAACACAATGACCTTTATTAGAGGACTGTAAATAGTACAATATGGACAGAGTGTTTGATGAAGTTTACTTACGTAACAGCATCAATAATCCAAGGATGAGCAGACCAATGCCTGCAGATCCAAATGTAGCACCACTTTTCTCAGTGCGTCCACAGTTTTTTTCATCACCTCCACAGGTGCAGACATCTATCTTGACAACCTGCTTATCAGGACAGGATAGTCCTTGTTGGTCTTTCACCTCCACAGTGACTTCATATGAGCCAGGCCACACGTTGTCCTGGGCTCGCAGGATTGCAGTGGTGCCTTAAAGAGAGAATGTATATGCATGCATGAACGTCTCTTATTGTTTCTTAGTAATTCACATACTATTTTAGATAAATAAAATATTTTTCATTGAAGAAATTGAAGCTTTCTCTGAATTTGTCTCAGTTTCAGGAAAAATAACCAAGAAAGAACAAGAAAGTAGAAAGATATTCCCAAATAGTATAAAGAATAAAGTCTAGCCCAACCTAGTCAACATAGTCTTCTTTATGATATCCAGGTGACTAAAGAAATAACTTGCTAGATTAGTGAGCACAATTCAGAAAAGTGAACATTTTCCTATTTGATTGGCATCCCTTTATGGATTGGTAACAGGTAATTTAGATAAAAGGTCATGCTTTTTTATTTTCTCCTTCATGATATCCATGTCTTTGCTGCAGGGGTGAGTTGTATATTGCTGGTTATATATAACCAGGTCCTTGTAGGTAATATTTGATAATGGTTCAGGTGGGTAGCTGCGTCACCATGCGTAGGCTGCAAAGGAACAAGTAATAGGTTTATTCCATGCTGAAAAAAAGAAGAAAGAGAACACAACGTTTCGGCCGTGGAACCTTCTTCAGGTGTGTTATATTTGATAATGCTGTGTTTGTGTTCGTAAATGCAGACTTGTAAGTCAATAGTTTGCCTTTTCAGGTTGGCTACTTTGTGTATTACTGGTCCCTCACTGCCCCAAGGAACTAGGAAAACACATTCATAGGTGTAACTGCTCTGTGCTACCTGACGAGCAACAGTGACATCTGCGCTTTCACACTGCAAATTAAACACAATGTCTAAGTATCCTCCCCTTTGGCAATAGCAGTCCTAAATTTGTTTAGCTGTACAAAATTACTTTGGCAAGTCAGGCAATTAGTTGAATAGCCTCTGTCTCTGTAATAATAGTTCACATGCTTTTAGAACAAATCCGCCTGTCTCTATAAGGTATCTCACTCAGATATTGGACCAAAGTCAAATTCAATCATGAAGACCAAGGAGTTTCAAAATGACTCAGGGATAACCTTATCGAAAGGCACATATCAGGTAAAGGGTATCAAACAGGGTGGTATGGTGGGGCAGTGGTTAGCGTTGCTATCTCCCAGCTCTGGGGTACAGTCTGTAACGGAACAGTTCTTTCCAGACCCCATGTAGACGACACAATCCAGGGTGGAGTGAGGAAGCACTAGGAAAAAGTCATGCAGGAATCGGGAATGAATACTGGAGGGGGAAGGGGGGTGTCCAAAGTGCGCAGGTGTTTAGGGTGGTGAGTCCGGGGCAAACAATCCAGAGGTAATCCAAACGGGGAATCCAAAAACGGGCAAAGTCCAAAGCCGGGTGGTCCATCCGAGAACAGACAGGTTAAAAACACGAACCGGTTCGGAACCGGCAGGGAGAACAGGAACAGAAACTTAAAAACTAATAATGGAGCCAGGCGATTACAGGTCCCGAGCTCACACGATATGGGAATCAATTCAGAGCCCCAAACTGAGTGGGTGTCTGGCTTTTAAGGGGGATAGGAAGGAGGCTGGAACAAGGAGCAGGTGCACAAAATCAGTTTGTACAGCATGTTCTCCCCGTGTTTAAAGGGGTTTCCTCCCACAGTCCAAAAACATATTGGAAGTTTAATTGGCTTCTGGGAAAACTGACCCTGGTGTGAGTGTGCCCGTGTCTCTCTGCCCTGCTATTAACTGGTGTTTCTTGCCTTGCACCTGTTGGACATTTTCAACAACTGGCGTTGACACCAACACCAGGAATTGTTCATGGTCCAACAGCACCTCAGTGCCAGACTTTTGACATGACTCTCCTGGAACATGGTGTTGGGTGATGGAAGGTTTTCAACCTTCTGCAATTGATATTTATGAACACCCTTCAACTTGCTTAAAATGTTCAAGAACCTAAATGACAAAATAGCAAATAATAAGTGTCTGAAAAACAATATTTCAGACTGGTAGTTATTCAATTAGTGAACGACATTGTTAGATTATACAGTATGGTCATAGCTCTCCGTACTGTAGATAACTGGAGAACTATAATAACTTTTCTAGATATATAAAATCAGAACACACTGAAAAAGGTTTACATTCCATTCAGAGCAAATTAACTGTCAACCTTACCATTCAGTTTTTCAACTCTCCATGTGCCCTTGGTACCTTCAGGAATGATTTTGAAATCAAAGGGAGGCCCATTGGGATCGATATCTCCATCCTCAGCTGTGATAAACGCAGCTCTGCTCTTGTTACACAGAACCTGGGAGGTACTGGTCAGAACTGGACAGTGGTCATTGTGGTCCTCCACCTGGATAGCAATCGTACCGGTGGTGGTTTTTGCAGGGAAATCTGAAAGATCAAAAGCTTGCTTAAAATATTTTTTTTAATCTAAAAAGACCTAAATGTGGTTCATTCATGTTGTGCTAAAATGGTCGATTCTACAATACAATTAAAATGATTTAATTTTAATTATCATCTAAAGATGTTCATACTGAAACGGATTTTCCCACTAAATATATAATACATTTAGAGTAAGAACATCCTGAGAAAAACTGACAAAAGCTTTTATTAGTCATGTGGTGGAATAGTGCTTTGTTACGCATATGAGAAAGACATCAGATCAATGTCACTTAACATGGGTCTTCCTTTTGCCATTAAGTAATTTAAGACCGTTTCTTCATTCTTTAAATGAGAAATAACTGAGGTCGACCAAGATAATTTACTTAATATGCATATCTCACTAATAGCTTCAGTAACCGATTCAAATACTGTACTTTTTAAATAAAATATAGAATAATATTTTTCACTATCTCTCATTAATCTACTTTTACATACCTTCAGTCATGACCAATATTTTTGCGTAGTATGTGCCATTAATCAATTGTTTGGATTCCCGGTCTGGCAGCTTGTTCAGTTTGATCTCTGCCGTCTTTTCATCAATTGACAGCCAGTTGTCAGGATCAAATGCCTTTGCATATCTGTAATAACATGAACGAAACGGCTATGATGAAGTGTGTTTGCATTTTGCAGTCTGACCATACATTATTGACATGTCTTAGCTATGCATATTAAATGCCCTAATATATTATGGTTGTCTAGAGGGCTGATTAATCATGTACGCCACACAAAACTGTCATATAGACATAATGAGACTTTAAAAAATTAAAAACCATCATGCACAACAGGATAAATAAAAAGTGAACAATGAACAGGAAGGTAAACAGGAGTAGGAGACAAAACAGGAACCAGGGAAGAATTTTGCAAAGTCTCAAATTAGCACTCAGGGTAGTGGCAACAATACTGAGCACAGTTTGAACCACAAGCAGGGTGCCCTCTAGTGGCTGGATGGTGGAACCGCAACAGTGTCCACCCAGATCTGCACAGAGCCAGTCCTATAAAGTGCGTCTTTTATTGCTGGCCTCAGCAGTGGAAGTGACACAGTCACCATATGGCTAAAAAAGATGTAATAAGAGAAAACTTTTTTTTACCAAAATTTCTAGAAATTATTTCATAAACCAGGAATCTGCCAATCAAACCAAGAAGATTTCACTGACCTGACTCTCTCAGCTGGCTTCCCAGTGTCCCCATTGATGGCTGGATATTTTGCAATCACCCTGCTGATGTTGAGCTTTTTCTTGTCCTCAGAGATGGAAATAGCCTTTACCTTAGGACTAAACCTGGGCCCCTCAGGCTGGTTTTTAACTTGAATTTTGATAGGATAGGATTTCCCTAACCCTGAACCAAATACCATTCCAGCTTCACTGTAATAAGCCGCCTTGTTCCTTAAAGCCACAGCAATGTCAACATTTTGCATTTCTTCATAATCAAGTGCCTGAAAAGTTCAGAAAAATAAAAAGGAAGAAGAAAGAAAACAATTGCTGAGTTACAAATACATTTCCTAATTTACTGCTTTCCTCGTGATACACTAACTAGTCCTACCACACAATATTATATACAATATTATTAATATATATTAAATATACAGTATATATCATTATTTATAGAACATAAATGTCCATAATTAAAAACATGTATTTAACTTATAATGAATACAACATAATGAAGAGCACTTATGCATTTTTTACATATACCTTGTTCAGCATTACGATTGCTTCATTAGCCTGGGAGCCCTTCACAATAGTGAAGTAGCCTGCTTCATTTCCTGACACAATTTCAAACTCTGTCTCCCAGTTGTCTGTAAATTCTAGATCTTTATCCAAGGCCTTCAGTCTCATGACTTCAATATTAGCTGTGTTTTCTTCCACAATGGCAGAAAACTGAAAAACAAAGATCTGTATTTGAACTATGAATTGTTTCAGCAAAAGTTGCATAATAACTGTTCTATTATGAACGTTATAAATAAAAACATACCCAAAATCTAAATGCTATTCAAATACTTCAGCAGCTTGATACGCAGAAAATTTCATTTTTAATATTTATAAGGAAAATAATTGATACAATCAAATGTTGTTGTTTTTTTGTGCAGAAACAGAGTTTGGGAAATGCTGTAGTTGACAGAAAGATGAAGTGAAGGGTACCTTCTCACCAGACCCAGATGATAAGTCTCCTGCCAACCAAGAGCAAGTAGTTATTTCCATACAGATACTCAACAAGCCTGTTCAGGTCCAGTTTCTCTGCATCCCAGATGTGCTGGCCTGGGCTTATAGGCTACAATATACTCTATTTTCTACTGTTCTGAGCTCCATATATTAGGCACTGGTGTGGCATAACGATTGACCTTTATCATTTTGTGCTTGTGCTGTATTGTTGTTGGATCCTTGTTTTAGTGTATTATGAAGAAGAAGAATCTGAACTGGGTGGCATGGTGGCACAGGGGTTTGCATTGCTGCCTTGCAGCGCTGGGGCCCTGGGTTCAGTTCTGTCTGTCATTTCTTGGGCTCTGTCTGTGGAGTCTGTATACTCTCCCCATGTACAACTGGGTTTCCTCTGGGTGCTCTTGTTTCCACCCACAGCCCAAAGACATACTGGAACTAACTGACATACCGTATGGAAAACTGGCCCTGGTGTGTCTGTCTCTGTCCTGTGATGGACTGGTGTCCTGACCAGGGTTTATCCTGCCCAGCACCCGTTGGTTAATGGGATAGACTCAGGTTACCCTGAGACCTTGTACTGGGTAAAGTGGTTAGAAAATCAATAGATGGAGATTATAACCTCTACCACCACGCAAGCCAGAAAATGCTCCAATCTAAGTTAAATTTTTAAAAGATCATACAGTAGCTATAGAAGCATCAAAATCTTGAAGAGATTAACACCTAAACACATTTAAAGCGTACACCGTAGTTATTTTAGACAAAACAAAGCTAAAAGTATGGTTTACTTCTTCTTTCTCCAGCGTAGGAACATTATCATTGACATCTAAGATTTTAATTTGAATGTCCCCCTCTCCAGTGTTGCCTGTGATTGCTCCGTCCATATCCCTGCCTTGTACCACCAAAGTATAGGAGTCGATCATCTGCAAAAAATTAAAAAAACAAACATCAGTCAGGAGAGCATACAAATACTGTATATATCTACATAAATACAATTGTACACAAACATAATAGTGCTCACAATGTATGTTAAAAACATCAGTTTATGAAAAGCATTGACAAATACAAATGCAGCACATGCAGTACAGTATGCAATGACAGTAACACTTTTCTGTCTTCACAATCCTGGTTCCCCAAAAAAGAATGTAGTCAGTACTACAGCCCAAACTGGCCCAAAACCTTCCAATGGAACCCTGCCTAATCAATCCTGCCTGATCTTCCTTGTCTGGAATTCAGGATGATGTGGTTTAACCTGCCTGTTTTTTTTTAGCTAGAGCTAAAGGCTGGCTGAAAGCCCAACATTGCTCTTAGTGCTCTTTTTTTCCAAAAAGAGCAAGCAGTTATCACCACTGGGGTCAGACATTTTTCATCAACAATTGACTGTGAACAAGGTTACCCTATAGAGTGTCTCGTCACAGCAGTCTAAAGCATCCTACAGACCTCAGGCGTCATCTACCAGGGCAGAGCAAGCATCATCTCGAGCTTACAGAGCTTGGCAAATATACAGGGGAGAGCCCATAGCACTGACATGCAGATCATCTAGGAATTAAGAATTTCTCCTTAGCCCTGAGGGACTGTGCCAAGAGATCTCTTCAGAATGGGACAACAGTCAACATCAATGTTGAAGGGCCCAATGCAATACTGCTGCTTGCCTTTAAGGATTTGAATGATTTGGCCCCTGACTCCTTCAGTGGACTCTTTTAGTAATGTTGCTTTCGAAATGCTGACATATCAGTTCTTGAGTCAAGAAAAAACAAAGATTTTGGAGGAACGCTCCACAGATTGCCAGGCATGAGCACTGAGCAAGTCCAGGACTCCTGTGAGTCATCCAGGCCAGGCCAGTCAAAATTAAAAGGTCCAGCCCAACGTTTAGCAAAGGATAGTGGCATCCCACTCTTCCACTAGTGACTGCATTACGTCCTTGAAGGGAAACAAACGTTTAATAGTGTTTTAACATTACATTACTGCATGAAATAAAGATGGTTAACTGCCAGCTGTTTTGAACTGCATTCAATCTGAGACTCGGCAGTCTGTGGACTAAAGCTTAGCTATTTCAAATGTGAATCATGAACGGACTATGAGTAAAAATGCATGTTGTGTTTGGGGAAAATCTTGCAAATCGTTTGTTTATAGACTGTACCTTTGATTTTGGCATAGGCCTGTGTTGTAGGTTTAAATGAATTACTTAAGAAGTAAATCTTTAAAGATATAATGAAAAGAATAAAAACAGAACTTACTTCCCTGTCAAGGGTAGCTTTTTGAACGTAAACCATGCCTGTGTCTTCGTCTATATAAAACATCTGTGGCTCTGGTGGGGACTGGCTCACGATGCTGTATTTAATTTTAGCATGGTCTGTAGCGGGGTCGTCATCATCTGTAGCAATTACTTGCATGACAGGGGTGCCTAAAATGAAAGTAATTCTATGAGTAAAATCAAATTTAATCAAAATTTCATGCAAGCTCTACACATAAAAAAGAAACAGTATCAACACATGCAAAAAAAAAATAAGAACATAAGAAAAGAGGGGTTTAGGTAATTTGGGAAAGAATTAAAGAATGTAAAAACTTAAAGGAATGGATCTTACTGTATTTCCAAATCTTTACAATGCACTAATGAGCCCTCACTTAGGATTTTGTGAACAATTTTAATCACCACATTCCAAGAAAGATATTGCCTCTCAGGAACTAGTTTAGAGAAAAGATCTTTTACAATGTTAGTGAAATGATCACCTCAATATTGTTGTTGTATCTGAAGCACCGCCGTTAATTTCAAATATGTATTTGCTCATATTAAAATCTACTGGCTTGTAAAGTTGGCAAAATTTAGGTTAGAAAAATGAGAGTTTTCTACCATAAACAGTTAAAAAAAGATACAGTATTGTGAGCTTCATCAAGAGCCGCATTTACTTCAGCAGTGTCTTGCACAAGTATTCAGCAAAAACAAAAGAAAAAAGTAAATAGATCATTAATATGAAAGAAAGGTAAAAATTGGATAAGTATACATATGCATTGCTGTGGCACAACTTAATTTAGGTGCAGAAAATGACCTTAACAAGCCACACAACTAAATGAGGGGCATCTATCGCTGTGCGATAAAAGAGGATGTCAGGAGAATAAAGACACCTGCCCTACCTCTGTGAGGTTCCTTGGTCAGGTAGTAAAATGTAAGCAAAGACACAACCAATGACAACTAAGTAGATTTCAAAGAAATGTAATTTAAAAACTTTGAAAAGCACAGATTACCAGAAAGGCACAAATCTCAAAGTCTCTGTTCCTGTGAGTGCAGTTATTTAGAAATGGAAGGTGCATTGCAGCACCCAGACGCTGCTTAGATCAGGCCGTCTCTCCAAACTGCGCCACCAGTCAAGCAGGATGACACCATGAGGACACCTTGAATCAACTACAGAGGTCAATGGAAAAATGGCCATGAATCAACAGTATCACATGCACTCAGCAAAGATGACTTGTATAGCAGAGTGGCACATGCATCTTAAATTCTGCATGGTGCTTGCAAGGAAGTGTTTAAGTGAGATGCAAACATCTGGCAAAGGTATGGGAGGAAAATAAAAGCAGATCTTGAAAGAAAACCTGCCTCGTCCTGCTAACGCCCTAAACAGTGAGACAAAATTTTCTTTCAGCGGGACAATGTTCCAAAGTTCAGGAACAAAGCTACAACTAGAATGGCTCCAGAATAAGAAAGGTACAGTACAGTCAAGGTGTCCCAGACTGGCCCAGGCAAAGAGCTGACCTGAATCCCATTGAGAATCTCACACCCAAACACCTTGAGAGAGGTGAAGCAAATGAGCCAAGGAGAAAGGCAAACGTGTGCCACGTCAGAGTGCAAAGTTCACAGAGGCTTTTCTCCCACGATTTGGGTGAATGAAGAAGAATAAATAGTCAGCTTTAATTCAGAAACAGTTACGAAGGACAGTTTACAAGAGTCTGAAAAAGAGCTACAGGTTGTGTACAAAAAAAACTACTTGCGTAGAGCTGTATACTCATTTGCATTGCTTGTTGGTTGCTACATGTCTCCATAACACCAACTGTCTGCACAGGCCTTTGCTCTATCCAGCTTGAAAGAAGCATGCCTCTCTTTAAGCAAAATTAAGAAAATGTCCATTTCAAGCGATTTAGATATGGGTTGCTGGTGTGGAAAAAAAAAAGTCAACCCCCCAAAAAAATGCTTCCATCAAGTATTATGGTAGCAAGTCTGAACACTTATACATTCAACATATTTCAGTGGCTAATTTTTAGTTGTTGCTGCCATTTACTGTAACCTATCTTAACCTTAGAAGTCTTCAGTCTGAGCGCTCAAGTCTTGAATGAAATATTACGTTTAAAGAATGTGTATCATCATTTTGTAAATTCACAAAACAGGACATTATAAGAAGGGTCTGAATCCTTTTGCAGGGCAATCTTTCTTTTCAAGACAAAATAACGTCAATCTGAGTTTCTTCGTTTTAAGTAAGAGTGTTTCCAACTCGGATGCAATTTTGTCTACAATTTAAACGACCACCTGCTGTTCATTATGTTACTGTTGTTGCCAGTCAAAGCATTTTAAAGTCACTGCCCCCTGTGAAGCACCGAGACGTGGCTTTCTGAGAGTCCCGTCTGTTCACTGGAAAAACTTGCAGAACGAGGCACAGCGGGTCGGATTGAGCAATACGTCACCCAGGGTGAGGGAGAAGACTGAAGACTGTCGCGGAATGAAGCTGTGCACCGCCACTATTTGAAATCTGATATGCTACTCTGGAAGAAAAGCTGGAAAACTTGCCTTTTGCACTTAGTTCTTTGATTTCTCCAACCTGGTTGATTTTAAACACTGGAGGACAATCATTTTTGTCTACCACAACAATCGTGAGATTAATGTTTTCCTCCACTGCTTTGTATGACTGGTCAAATGCAATTCCCGTGAGCTGCAAAGGACAAAAACAACATAAACATATTGAAATTAATTGATTATAATATTCAAAAGCTTGACAGTTAAAACAATTTTGTAATTCAGTGCCCATGGCATACGGTATACTGTATGTGATGTAGTAAAGATGTCAATAATGACTGATAAAAGTAACAATACCTCCTGGTGGCTACACATGAAAGGTTTACCTCATGGTATTTAGGTCCCATTTTTCAAGATTCTGATCCACTTGACCTGCACCCATACATTTCCTAACCACTTCTTTCACAACAGGGTCACGGGGAAACCAGATCCTATCCCAGCAAGCACCAGGCACAAGGCGGGGTACCCCCCTGAAAGGGCCAATTTTCCCAGAAGCCAATGAACCTGCAGTACCAGCAAGTCTTTGTGAGCCCATGTGAACACAGGGGAACCGTACAACTTCCACACAGACGGCACCCCAGGTCTGGAGTTGAGCACAGGACCCCAGCGTTATGAGGAAGTAATGCCAACTACTGTGCCACCATGCCCTGCACATGACTTAAAACAGCTCAATGAAAAATGTGATTTATCGCCCAGATTTAGGCGTATTTATAACAGTAAAGATAAGGAGATTAGGAGGCACTTCTTTACACAAAAGGTGGTGGGAGTGTGGAACAAGCTGCCCAACCATGTTGTTGAAGCAGATAGCTGGCTTCTTTCAAGACGCAGCTGGGGGAGATCTTGAGATCGATAAGCTACTAACTACCAAATGGACTTGATAGGCTGATTGGCTCCTTTTGTCTGCTGTACAACTGCTCTTGTGTTCTTAACTTTTATTGGGGTTTTTCCTTGTTTGCTGACATTTGACTTCTTTCACCCATATAAGCATTCAGAATGAGCATTCAAGATTTGACTAAAACGTTCCAACTTGAAAAAATGTATACATCCTTCGTAATCCAACAAAATGTGCCATCTTTGGGTGGGATGGAATACTTGTGGATGGCACTATATAGGCATGCATGCAAAACCAGTTTTACTTTTTGGGGGCTTTATAGATGCATGAATCCCTATCGTCTATGTGAATGTACAGTCATGAATAGAGCAGACAGTGTAATTCACTACCTTGTGTGATGGCTTCAATGAAGAGAAACACCTGCACATTGTTGGTAAGAATTATTCTGCCAGGAACTGTTGAATTTGAAAAGATAAAGGCAGACTCACATTGTAAACAGCAATTTCTTCCCTATCCAGGATGTCATTGACCCTAATTGTGCCACGAACTCTGTCTACAACAAATATGTTCATAGGCTCTTCATCAGCTCCTTTTCCCTTTATCTCATAGAAAATTGTCTGTTTACTCTCAAAGTCGGAGCGAATCTGGAAAAGAAATATTGTAAATTAACATTACACATGATGAACTATACCACAGGCTGTGCACTGCCTGGGGGTCTCTAGGACAGAGTCGCAAAGCCGGGGACACAGTATCTAGAAACAACACACATGAGTATCATAGTTTTTATTTTGTCAAAGGACATGCATTTTTTCCCCAAGAGAATTAAGTTATCTTTAAATTAAAGATTTCACCTATCCATCAAAATTGAAAAGGTGGCGCAAAGCACCTAGAAACCAAACCTTTTCAGCATACTCTGTGAGTCCCTGTACATACAGGCCAAAAATAAAACTTTCTAAATACCTTTTGGGTGCTACTTGATGTTTTGTATAATATTTTTAACGATAGGGCTGAAGAATTTCCGTGAATGAAAGAATCAAAAATACATTCAGTGTGGTATTTACAGAATCTTCATGGGTGTCTGTATACTGTAGAATATTTAAAAAACATATGCCTTTCCTTGAGCTCAGCATTAAGAATCGTGGAACACCCCTTTTCCAGAATATCCTTTCAACCCCAGCCATGTGTAATGTGCTGTGAACTAGGCAGGCTTTGATTATCTCATTGATGGCAGTACAGATCACAGTAAAACACAAATGCAGAGACCTTTAGAGTATTTAATGTTAATGACTGAGTTATGTTACCAAACGTGAATCCAGGACAAGGTTGAGCAAATAAATTAGAAAAAAATACTTGCTTTGCCGATATATTCCCTCTTTGTGTAGTCCTCGTTCTCTGGTATTCTTAATGGTGGAATAATCCATGCTCTTTTTTGCCTCTTTAGTTGCACGTTTTCGTTTGCTTCCAGTTGTTTTTGGAAAACCTTTAGATTTAAGACACAGTTCATAAACAATTACATACCATTGCATACCAGTCAGGCTCGGGAATCAACATGAAGGAGCATTAGACAAGAAAGTAGCTGTGCGAGATCATCATGTCGCACTACGTGTACCAATCGCCGTCAGAGGGACAGTAATGCTGTATATGTGATGTTTGACCGAGTTTTGTATCCACCGGCGTATATTTTCTTAACTCCCGCTGGAAGCAGAGTGGAGAACATGCAAGAGCTGACAGAGAAATAAAACCATCTCGACACCAAGGAGAACAATTTTCCTTAGTGAGAAAGATACCGGGCCTAAGCGGTAAAACTTTCGGCGTGGTTCTGGCACGAACGACACACCAGCCGCGTGAGCATTTCATATAGGTTTCTCAATTTAGGACACCCATATTGTTAATAAGAAAATGCTTTCCAACGCGGCTGTCAGAATATCAAGATCCTCTGGTGGTGAACAGCGGTATCACGATAAAAAGTGAACTTTCGCCGCTGTCACATACCTGTCTGTACAGTATACAGCAGCATATGACAACATGCCCAAATCTCACCAGGTATGTCCCTGGAATTATCATTACTGCACAATTTGCACAACGCAAGTATTTCCTGATTTTAGTTCGTTTAAGTGTTAATGACATACAGGCACTTTTTATTTAGAAAAATAAAGCAGTCGCTACGTTCTTCCACTGTTTAGGATGGACAGATTGAGGACATTAACAGTGGCATTTTACTGTGATACGTCCATTTTACATAGTTTTACACATTCTATAACATTTATTTCGAAACCAAACCCCTCCGTTGGAGAACATGGGACGAGTACTGTATGTCAGGAGGGTTTATACTGTAGCTCATTGTTAGAACTTCCGCTGCCCACCACACTGTATAAATATTTTTGTCCCCTTATCTCTTAAGATTTGTGTTGCTGTGTTACCTAAATTCCGTTTCTCCATCCAGGCTAATTAAAACGCTTAAGCCCCTCACACAGTCACGCAGTCTCTGGGTCAGCAGGCAAGGCTGGGAAGAACAGGGAGCTCTGGGTGTGTGCGAGAGCAGCAGGCGACAGTGCTGATCGCAGACGCCGGCTGGTTAAAACCTACAGCACCTCGATACCGGTCTCTTCTGCTCACAGGGGACAGAACAGGATGCCGACAAACCCTAAGTAGTGAAACTGGAGAGGGAAAGTGTAGTAGGTCGTATGAGTTTAATTAGTGTGTTGATTCCTGAATTTAAATGTTTACTTACATAACCAGATAGCCTGTATTTCCTGGGTATGACTGTTAAATACGTGATTGTGCCAGTGTTCAATGATACTTCTTTACACCGTGAAAGCAGGCTACATTAGGGTACTGATCGGTGCAAAGCAAGTGCAATAAAGTAAAAATGTTGCCTGGGAAGGCTTGTAGGGGAGGGTCCCGGTTTCTTCCCACGGATACCAGGTGCCCTCTGGTGGTTTCTCACGGTACTGCATTGCGGCCTGTTCCTACTGTATATTGCAGGCATCCAGTGTGTTTCACGGCCCAGCTTTTTCAAATATTTTTGTAAGATTAGAAAACGTCGTTTTGTTATTCTTTTAGTTACTGACAAAATTGACCTTTTTTGCTCTTTTTCTTCCATTTGTTTAAAAGGGACTTGGAAATGTACAGTATAATCTGGTGTCTGGTTGTCTTTATACTGTACAGTATGTTACCATGAACTTGAACTTGAACTTTATTGCCATATGTAACCGGTACTGGTACAATGGAATGCTTACTTACAGAAAGTCTCTCGATTGTAAAACAAGTGTAAAAAACAAAACAAAGTGCAAACAGTGCATCAAGACAATATACAAACATGTAGACAGTTTGAATGTAAACGTGTAAACAATGACTGGAGATGTGCAATAAATAAGAAATCATAACAAGGTAGATGGTGATGGTGTAGGTGTGGTCCGAGGGGGATGGCTAAATGTGTTCACCAATCACACTGCTTGTGGGTAGAAGCTATTGAAGAATCTAGTGGTAAGTGTCTGTATGCTCTTGTATCTCTTGCCTGAGGGCAGTGGGGTGAAGAGCTCATGCCCGGGGTGGTGACTGTCCTCTGTGATGGCCAGAATTCTACCACAGCAGCGGTCCTCATAGAGCTGTTTAATCTCGGTGAGACCGCAGCCGAGGATCTTCTGGGCCATATTGACCATTCTCTGCAGTGCCTTTCTTTCTCGCGAAGAGGTGTTGCCATACCACACGGTGATCCAGTTGGTGAGGACGCTCTCGATAGTGCAGCGGTAGAAGTTCACCAACACATGTATTGGCATCCCCCATCGCTTGAGGCACCTCAAGAAATAAAGGCGCTGCTGAGCCTTCTTCATGATTGGTAAAGGTCAATCAGAGATTTGGCCAGGACGCTGGGGTTACACCCCTACTCTTGACGAGGAACGCGCTGGGATTTTTTTGATAACCACAGTGAGTCAGGACCTCAATTTTACCTGTCTTCCGAAGGACGGCGCCTTTTTACAGCATAGTGTCCCCGTCACTATACTGGGGCATCAGGAGCCACACAGACCGCAGGGAGAGTACAGTAGATCTCTGGGTGCCCTGTGGCACAGTGAAGTGCTGAAAATGGACACCTCCCAAGCCACACATGACTGAAATATTCCGTTTCTTTCTCTCAGAGCTTTTGGGTATTCCGATTTGAATTTGGGCAGGCGGGAGGCGCCGAAAACGTGAAGTCTTACATAGAGTTTCCATACATGGTTTTATTTGCCGCGGCTTTTTTGTTGGGCGTGCTGGGTTTTGACATTATTTGTATATAATCATAGTCCAAGTAGCACTTTATCATCGATCAACCATGCCTTGTCATAAACGTAGAATAGAAAAATCTAACAAGTAAAAAGTATTGTACCGAATTCGGGTTCTAAGGCTTGTTGTGCGCCGGGGCGCATTCGTTAAATTATTATTGAAGCACGCTGCTTTCTTTCTATTACATACGGTAAAACCATTCTGTCCTTACTGAAATGTTTACCCAAAATTAATGTTAGAGAAAACGGGCTTTTACATAGTTAAGTTTTATTATTTCACTCTTCAGTACTCTGGATTACTATTCCAAACACTGCGTCTATACACACTATGGGTCAATTGCAACGAGATGAAAGCAGCGAACTAACTGGAGTTCAACCCGTGTTTTAGCGCACAGCTCCGTGTTGAACTAGTGCGCCACTTTAAGACTCTGGAATAGGGGACTAACTTAAACCACCTCTTCACAAGGTTTCAGCAACTTAGCAGCGGGCTAACAGAACACGGGAATATGGAATATGGTGAACTATGAAATCATATATAATAATAGAATATCATATAATATAATAGAAATAATGTCGTCACTACGTAATGAAGTTATACATCCGTCGCTTGTATATTGTTGTAATATTAAACTAAATTGGCTCTCCAGTAACACCACATGTATTAATAATGATGGTTATTAATACGTGTTTATTAATAAAAGCGTAATTTATCAATCATGAAGTTTAATGTCTGTCATCGTTAGTAGCTGTATGTAGAGCCTTTAGTATGCGTTAGTGAGGACAACTGAAATTAGGGAACTACGTATTTAAATGCGGTGTAAGTCTTATTAAATGTGTTCTGTCGCATCTGGCTGTCCGTTGAATAGATTTATAGTATTTTTATTGTAAACTGTCGCTGCACTTGTAGCTCTCAGGGGAAGAAGGAATATTGGGGATTTGGGTTGTACAGTGAAGAATTTGTGTAGGCAAATACAATGGTGTTGGCCGTTAAAGAAAAATAAAACCTCTTTTAGTTAGAGATTATTTGTGACAGTTCTTCGGATCTGTGTCCCTCCTCTGTCCTGTGACTGAGGTCCAGTAATAACGGTGGTGAGACAGCCGGAGTGTGAAAGTCTTGAGGACGGGACAGGAGACTCATCCAGTCAATATCAAGGTGGTGTGGTGCTGCTGGCTCTTGATGGATTGGTACGCAGACCAGATGAGAGGCAAGAAAAACTCTTAAAATTTCAAAGGCTCACTTGGTCAGAGGAACAACACTGAACTGAAATGATCCGGAACGATCTTTTACAGTAGTCGCCTTATTAAACTTAAGTTTACCTCCTAGAACTGCAAATATACACAAGGTATATACTGTATAACTTGTAGATGAAATCTTCTCCAATGTACCACCAACTTATATTGTAATTTCTGTGTAAAAATCAATTTGCTAACGGTATTGGACATTAGCCGGTGCTTTTTAAAACCTATTTAATCCGAACTCCGAAGTAAGGAATCTGCAGTGAATGCGTTTGTCAGTCGTTGTTCGACATGCCCGTAAATAACTCAACTTCAAAAGGAGAAGTTCCTAAAAGCGCTTAAGACCCGTGCAGCCAAATGTACTGTAGCTTATACTGTACATTAAACCGAAATAACCGTTCGCTTATATATGAAGAATCTCCGTACAAATCGTTTTTATTTATGAATGGAAATAAAAGCCGCTATAATACCTATTCAAATTTAAACCTGCGGCTACTGTACTCTTTTTGTTTTGTGACTCATTGCAATTGAGTATCACATCAGTATTTTCGTGCGCTCATCTGGTATATTTATTCTGGTATAACTGTTCTTATTCAGAGCCCCGTGCGGTTCGTGCTAATGAGAACAACGCTGACCTTTCATCACCTCACTAAGCGTAAGTTCAGCTGGTCTCCAGCTTTGTTTTCGTTTGCAATGGAGCTCCGTGCTGAAGATGATCTTGAGAGAGTACTGTATTAACTAGTCAGCAATTTAGTACTCAGCGGCGTGCTAAATGTGAACCCATCGTGTCTAACGCCGTCCATACAGGTATTTAATGTGCCCCAATTCTACATTGCATAACCCCCAAAATACCACACGTCTGTTTCCTAACCACTTGTTTTAATTCAGGGTCACAGGGAAGCTGGAGCCCTTCCCTGCAAGCAATTGGTGCAAGGCAGGGCGCTCCCTGGACATGATGGCAGTCCACCGCAGGGCAGACCGACACACACACACACACCAGGCCAAGTCTTCCCAGAAGCCAAATAACTTTGGGCTGTGGGAGGAATCTCCACCAAACACAGGGAGAACATACAAGCTCCACACAGACAGCACCTCTGGAATTGAACCCAGGGCCGCAGTACTGCAAGACAGCGATGCGAACTACTGCCCCACTGGGCGGTCTCCATACTTTCTTTCATTGTCCCCAAGTGGTGAAATGTACAGCTGTACGTGCTACAGATGGTCAAACACTACAGAAACTTGGTGTATTGAAAATACAGCTGAAATGATGTAACTGCTTCCAAAAGGAGAAACGAGGTGGTTTGTAAACCCATTCCTTTATCCTGTATCAGAAAGACACCTGATCGTGGAAGAGGGCCGTATCAAGCCCACCGAATCCCCATGACCAGCTCACAAGATGCCAGCCCATCGCAGTGCACACTCTACCGTACGCACCAGCCCGCGGGGAGAGCTCAGCGACAGCAGCTCACCCTGCCAGCAGCCTCGGAGTGGTGAGAGGGGACTCCAGCACCCGTAACAAGACCCTTGGGGAACGCAGGGAGGACGTGTACAACCCACACTGAGAGCACCCCAGGGGCCACAATCACGCAAGAGCCGTGAGAGCGCAGCACCAACTGCCACTCAAGCAAACCGCCCGTGACTTGGAAATGAGTAAAACATCATTCTGATTTTCTGGTTTTCCTGAACTTCTCCCTTGCTTATTTCTCCACTAAAGTGTGTTAAAGCCCGAAACGCACCTGAAAAGGCAGAAGCCTGTAAGTGAATAAATGCAAACACAGTCTGTGATTCAGAGGCTAGAGACACTGGGAATAGCTAACGAATTAGTTTAGTAAGCTATTGTTTTGTACAACAGCCAGTGAAAACACAGTAGATCGTTCTCAAAACCTTGAATTAGTTATATTTAATTTGTAGTGTATTTTCAGACCAAGCCTATTTGGAAATAACAGGTGTAAATATGGGGCATTTTTATGGGTAATTTTTAAATATGGGTTTTTTTTTGTAGCCAAGTAATATTTAAAAGTCAAGATCTGTAATCTGTAAGCATTTTCCCTGAAAACTGAAAAGTTTATTTTGTTCTTGATTAATGTATATATAAAAACATTCAACTGATTTCATCTATTTGTTCTATTAAATAGTGCCTAGCTTTAAAAAGTGAAATTAGTTAACCAGAAATCAGAATTAGAAGATCAATTCCATGTCAAACAACCCATCAATTTCTCTGTCCAGTCAATGCGAAGAGGAGCTTAAGTAGCACAGTAAAAGTCAAAAACATTTATATGTGTTATCCCATCCATTATCAGAAAGCCATTACATCATGGTAAGGCTTGCAATAACCCAGAGCACAGTCCCAGAGCACACAGTGCAATGTAGGACTACGTCTCAGACAGGACACCGGCCCATCTCAGGGTGCACAAACTGCAATCATTTTCCACATGCCCATTAACCTGACCGATATATTTTTTCTGCAGATATAGGAAAACCCAGGAAAGTACATGGAGTAATCCTTGGCACAACTAGGAAGAACATGCAAACTCCACACAGATGGTAAAGCTTAGAACCCAAGAGCTGTGAGGCAAAATCCCAAATGTATGGTATGCAGAATTCTGCAGATTTATGTCTCAGATCTAAAAGAATTTGTGGGCACAACTGTGTATCCATAAGAGACAAGTATTTACTGTTCATGCAGTATAAAATACAGAAAGCAAAAAGCATCACAAAGCATCTGTAATCTGTGATCAGGAAAGATCATGCTGCTTCAATAAGTCTGACAGTTGTCCTGAACATTGTAGAACGCTGGCAGCCTGTCATCAGGATGATTTGCACAGTTATAATCTGATAATGCTCCCTTTTCAGAGAAAACAGAGATCACATGAAATCAGTCTTGTTGTTTAAGCATCACCTACCAAACTGCCACTACTGTATATAGCGATGCCTATCACGGCATGTAAAACTCTAATATTCTAAATAAAATCTCAAATTGAAATAAATGGCACCCCTGCTCTCTACTCACCAGCAGCATCACAAGCAGTTGCAGTCCAACGCCTGCGAGAGAGGTCCCAGCCATGGCAGATACCTGCGTCTGGTCAGAAGCTGTTCCCCTCACCGACAGATCAAGGCTCACAGTGAGAGAGCTGGAAAGGCTGTGTTGTTTTAGAACAATGCTCTTTGTGCGAGCACTTCTTTAAGTACAACAAGCAGTGAAAGTTGGTGCTTGTTTCCACTTGTCCAATAGGCATCCAATTGACCTGAGGAGATCGGTTGCCTTTACTTGAATTCCACACGGCAAGCTCATCCACACCCAAAAGGGCTGGACTTCTGATGGTTTTTCTGGGGTCCAAACCCCTCCATTCGAATGTAATAATCCCATTTGGTATTTCCTGATCATTATTTCTTGAAGCAACATCATTTGTTAAGACCCTTTCTCAGCACTTCTCTTGAGTTTGCTCCCTCTGGGTTCTGAATTACTGCTAATTAAGCCCTTGAACTGAACTGTCTGAGGTTTGTATAGAAAACAATGGTGTGTGTCTGAGCAATCATGAATGTTCACTATGAAGAGATGGAGAAACAGACTGCTGAAGAAATTTGGTTTTATGCAGGTTTATTCAATAACATTCTTTATTAGAATTTTCTGATAAAGAATTAAAACAAAGCAATAGCAGTGTTCTTTTTTTAAAAACAGACTAAAAGCAAGGGCATACAAATCTGTTTTATTCTTCATCTACTTACCTAGTCCCTTCCAAGACTGCATAAATACGCGATGATGGGGTGAAAATAACCCCAATGGCAACACTCTTGCATCACAAATTCAACCACAAAAGAACAGTTTAAAGGTGTGTTCAGTAGTTTATCTACCCATCTTCTAACTGCTTCATCCAGTTCAGGGCTGTGGTAGGGGGCTGGAATCTACTGCAGCAAGCGACAGGCCACAGGGGGAGCTCATCTGTCAGGCTGCCAGTCCAACACAGAGCACACACAGACACACACACACACACAGACACACACACACTCACAGAGCACGCACAGACACACACACACACACACTCACAGAGCACACACAGACACACACACACACACACACACACACTCACAGAGCACACACAGACACACACACACAGACACACACACACTCACAGAGCACACACAGACACACACACACTCACAGAGCACGCACAGACACACACAAACACACACACTCACTCACAGAGCACGCACAGACACACACACACAAACACACACACACACTCACAAAGCACACACAGATACACACAAACAGACACACAGACACACACACTCACAGAGCACACACAGACACACACAAACACACACACTCACAGAGCACGCACAGACACACACAAACACACACACACTCACAGAGCATGCACAGGCACACACACACTCACAGAGCACACACAGAGCACACACAGAAACACACACACAAACAGACACACACACTCACAGAGCACACAGACACACACACACTCACAGAGCACGCACACACCCAAGGAGCACACACAGACACAAACACACAGGCACACACACAAACACACAGACACAAACACACAGGCACACACACAAACACACAGACACAAACACACACTCACAGAGCACACACAGACACAAACACACTTACTGTACAGGCACACACACACAAACACACAGGCACACAGACACACACACACACACAAACACGCTTACAGACACAATCACACAGGCACACACACACACTCACAGAGCACACACAGACACAAACACACTTATGGACACAAACACTTACAGACACACACAAACACACTCACAGAGCACACACAGACACAAACACAGAGGTACACACAGGCACAAGGACACTTACAGACACATACATATTTACAGAGCACACACAGACACAAACACACTTACAGGCACACACAGACACAAACACACTCACACCAGGGCCCATTTTCCCAGAAGACAGTTAACCTACCAGTATGTCTCTGGACTGTGGGAGGAAACTCATGCAAAGACGGTGAGAAAATGATCTCATTTATATGAGATGCTATTACACAGACATGAATGGAAAGAGATAGGCCAATGCCAAACAAAAAGAAGAATCCCAGGACAGCACACAGCCCGTTATACAGTTCATACATTGCTGTCTTACCGTTTACTGTTACCAGCAATAACAGTTGGTATAAGGCTTACTATCAAGTCATCGTGAATGTATTCCGCTCAATGTTTAAAGAGTAGGTTTCTAACACACCTGTCCCGATCATGTCTTCACACCCCTCATCCCCTGATTAGAAGCACATTGGCTCTTCCCACCCATATGTTTCTGCAGTTTCACATCAAGAACATGCGTTAGGAAAGCCATGTCATTTCTACTTGTCACAGAAGCAGTGACACACATACGCATTTAACCTGGGAACGCTTACAGAAATGGCATTGTTCTTCATGTATGCAAAAGACAGAACACGTACTCCTTTAGAATTTTTTTAAAAGTGTGTGACGATATTCTTCTGTTGTTAAAGTCGATGCTACTTCGAATTGGAACAGTATCACTGCATATATAATGCAAGATATTAAAATAGTAGGCAACATCGTTTAGAAATGAACTATTGTGTTTAAACACAATAATTGTCTCATATAAACACAATAAATTTCTTGCTCAACTATCTTGCATAAATGCACTAATTTTCTCATTTAAACACAATAATTTTCTTGTATAAACACAACACTATCTCATATAAATGCATTTTTTTTTCTCCATGGCTTTTGTAAGTTTGTAAGAACTTGCTTCAGATATGGCAAAGGACTCCACATAAGACATAAGGCATAAATTCACATAAGGCAAGTACAAACAGGAGAATATTTCTGCAAGTGCCAACATGAGTATTTTGTTATAGATCAGTCAAAATGATCTATGATGACAAAATACTCATCACACCCTTATTTAATAAAATATGTAAATTAAATACATTGTACATATTTTAGGTAATGAACTTCAGTGTTTATAACCCAGCATCAGGTTTTATTTTTCTCACAATGAAATAATATATACATCAATAAAAAAATATGGTATACTGTATGTATCAATCTAAAAAGCAATCCCAATATAGAAATTCACAATGTCCTGTGCAGTACAGAATACTACAGTAGATAATGAATTTGTCTCCTTTGTTTTTTATTTCTCTGCAGATGAATAGGCTACCACATACTGTAGTAAACTTTATTAGAGAATTCAGAAACATCTTGTTGTTTTAAATGTGACTCAGGACAACATTTGTATTTCTCTTCTGGAGCAAATCTAAACTGAATGTTAGGCATGAGTATATAGTGTGCATATATATGCCAAGACTAAACAGGAACATTAGTCATTCTTATCAGAAACCAGATCCAGTGTCAAGGGAGAAGTCAAGTCTAATAAATAAAGTGTACATAGCAACTGCTAAATGAAAGTAAAGAGCTAAAACTGCTCCATATTGTTACTTTTTGCTTTTTAGCAACAATACCCCCCCCCTTAATCCCACCCCAAACAACAGCAACAGGACCTTAAACACGAGTCCACCCTAAAAAAAAGACTCCGGGCTGGAGACAGTTCAATGGAGAGACCTTTTGTTGGTTGAGCTACATTAGCAGTAGACTGGTTACATGATTTCTCAGAGTTGTCGCTTTGATCACAAATAGTGAAAAAAGCTAGTACTTAACTACATGGCAATTTCTTAACCTCCAATCTCTTCTACCTTGTCTTGTACCTAAGTTGATTAGTTACATTTCTCCTAAACAAAACAAAAAAAAACCTTATAGAACTTATAAAACATGAAACAGGCCATGCTATCTGTCAACATTGTTCATTGCCAGGTATTTTCTTTAAAAGCATGGCCACCATGAAATTAAAATGGGTATGTTGCATTCATATTACACAACTGATGAAACACATACTGTATAAAAACATGCTCCGTGCTAATTACCCATTACCCATTGTTTTGTTTGACCTAAGGGAAACGTCAAGACTCGTTGCTTTGAAAGGAAATGCTTTTGTCACATCATCTTCTGTTGATCCACAGAGGTCATGAGACTCATCTGAGAAACTAAGACAGACATAATTTAGAGTAGAGAGGAGACTGTTGTCCTCTCCAGCAGATCTCTGGATATGCTGCCACTCTCACCTGCTCTGGGCCCTGTGTTTGAAACCAGCCCGTCTGTTGTGAACTTTGCTTTCGCTGTGTTAGTCTACATTTTCTCCAGGTGCTTGTTTCCTCCCACACTCCTGGGCAGCTCGGTGAACTGGTGATTCTGAATTGCTGTTGTGTATGGTGTGTCGGTGTTGCTGTGTATGAATGAGTGAGTGTCTTGGCCCAGTGTCTCCAGGGTGTAATCTACCTTGTGCCCCAATCCAGCTCCCTGCAGTCATGTAAGGAATAAGCTGTTAGTCAAGAAGTAGGAATGATGTAAAGGCAATGAGCCCAGGAAAATAACACAAATGGTCTATTCCATCCTCTAATATTGTGAGATCAATTTAAGAAATGTAGTTGTATAAACAACAATAGAAGCTATGCATTTACAGTATGACATTTTCAATAGTATATTCTATTAAAGTGAAAATTAGTATTGCCTTCACGTAATTATCTGACTGTAGCACCGCATGGTCAAACTCAATCTGATAGAGTTTAGTGAATTTCAAAGTTTGTAAATTAGTTATAAAGATATGTACTGAGTGATTTCATATACATGTTAATGCAGAACGAGCCCCTTGCGAGAGTTTCCTGTAGGTTTCCCTCAGCATGTCTTAGGTCTTAATCATACACTCGATCGAGTCATTGCATGTATTATTATTCACCAACTACCTGTTTTGTCTGCAGATCCAATTATGTCAGACTATTATCATAATAGCTTTGAATTGCAACAGCCTTTTAACAATCAAGTAAAATATGTTGGAACACCATCTTGTTCTTGATACTGTTCCTATGTGTTCTAACACGCTCACCATCAGTTATTAACACAGTTATTAACACAGGTTCGTCAGATCAGCTCCTGGGCACATGCGATAGAAAATAAAACCTACAGTCCATCCAGAAAGTCACTCCATAGTTTAATGACACAACAAACTCACTCATATTAGAATGTCGTAGACTTGAACATAAATGCAGAGTTACCAAAATGGAAGTTTTCAAAATTGCTAAGAGTGACAGCATCGTGATGTTTTAACAGTCCTTATTTTCAGTGTACTCAGCTTACTACTTGAACTTGATAGATTTGCAAACAATCTTCCTAATATAGTTAATCTTACAGGCAAATGGTTGGGTGCACTAAGCACCTATCCCTTCAAATATTTCTTGACTAACCACACAGCTTGAATGAAAAAAAATGTTAGGAAGCAAATAGTAACAGAAAGTACTATACCTAACATGAGAAATGTTACCTTGTCCCTGCTGGCTGCCTATCCTTGAATATATCCATATGCTTTGTCACACAGCAATAACTGTATTTATTGCCATAAGCAACACAACAACATGTAGATTACTTCATACACTTGAGCTTCCCGTATTAAATAAAATGAACACTGCTCTCCTTCCTAGATTTTTCTAGCTGCAATTAAGGCTGGAGTGCTAAACAGACCTTTCAAGAAAAATTGGGACTTTATTTTTCTAAAACATTCTAGAAATCACCAATTCTTTTCTAAAATCTTAAAGAAAGTAGTTACAAACCAGCAATATTATTTCCTTCATCAAACTATACTGAAACCGTGTTAACCAGAAGACTGATTGACCTGTGATTCTGCCTTCATACACTGCTTGTCCTTCTAGATCGAAGTGTACACTTTGACACCATCGACTGCCAAACCTTGCTCTGTCAAAACCTGGTTCAAATCAT